ATCCATCAAAAGTAGGATCTAGCCTTGTTGCTATTGGCTCTACGTAATATTACAACGGGGATCTACCGAACAGGGCCCAAAATTGGTTTGGAGGCACCCTTGGGAATCAGGGTACCGCTACATAATTACCCTACCTCCTAGGGTGGAATTTTCAGCACCCTTTGAAAATCAGGGTGAATTCGTAAAATATAGTCAGTACCATGTTTGAGTCAGGGTAATAATGCCATCACCCTGTCAGCTGCGCAGTTAACAGCTTCTACAATTTCAGCTTCATCTTATTAGCAAGCATACAAGCAGGATCACTACAGCAACGCATCAACAACCTCTCCTACTTCAGCTACTTCCGCCAGCATTGCAGCACTGCACAGATACAGCAACATCGGCAGGGGTAGTAACAGCTACAATGTTCCCTCCTTCCGTGGATGGAGCTGCTGCTGAAGGTGCTGAAGGGGAAGAAACACGGGGGAAAGGACATGGTGATGCGCGGGGGGAGTAGCAAGAGTCTAACAGAGCAGCGGGAGACTAAGGGCATATTCGTGAGTTTAGACTGCTCATTCCGCTCATGATACGTCCTTACACCCTTGGTTTAAACTCGCATGCTCCGCGAGAGATTAAGGGTGTATTCGTGAGTTTGCATCAGAAACAAAATCAGAATCAAATTCGTGCAAAACCGAACCGAACTTTGATTAGGTCGAATTTCTACATTGTTGATCCTGCTAAAAAACCCGAAAATTATTATTGATCCGCGTGACAGTCGTGTTGCACTGAGTCCAGAAACGAGAGTGCCCACGTCGGCGTCGCACACCGGCGCGGGATTGGTCCTATGTAAAAGCACGCCCGAGTTAAGCACAAGTGGAAACAGCCGAAGTGACGCGTCACACCCATGCGACAGCAGGCGACGCCGATAGTTGGGGCCGACACCCAGGCGTGACTTGACAAAAAAGAGTGCACCGGGCACAATAAAGAAATGCACGGCTCCTGATTGGGTCATCGCCACACTGCACTGTACCCCGCGATGCAGATTCCCGCCCTTGACCCTGTCCGAGCAGAGGTGGGCAGCAGCCGAGTACAGTGCCTGGGGTGTTTTTGTGCGCAACGTCATCGGGCGAAGTGGTCGCACATGAATCTGTGCGCAACTGTGTGCTCGGTGAGTTTGAATTGTTGATCTGCAAGCTGTAAAACGCCAGGAAAAAAAATAAAAATTGATCAGGATCAACAATGTAGGAATTCGCCCTTAGACTGCTCATTTCTCACTATACCGTGCAAGTCTGAATTCAATTCTGGTTCTGATGCTACCTCAGGAATACGCCTTGAGGGAGCAACGAGAGACTACGGGAGCAGAGAGATACTAAGCGAGCAGCAAGAGACTAAGGGAGTAGCGAGAGACTAGGGGAGCAGCGAGAGACTAAGGGAGCAGCGAGAGATTACGGGAGCAGCGAGAGACTATGGGAGCAACGAGAGACTACGGGAGCAGCGAGAGACTAAGGCAGGGAGGAACAGAGGGACAAACAAGGTTGGGGGGAACGAGCGAGAGAGACGAAGGCAGAGAACGGAGACACTAAGGGAGGGAGCAGCCAAAACGAGAATTTGTTGGTGGGCGGGGCTGCCTGCCTGCATGGCAGATTCGACAGTTGACATATTTCGAGGGTTGCGAGTTATCTATTTTAGGGTGTTTTTGTGCGCACCCTGGCTGGTCAGGGTAATAAGACGAACACTCTTACTACAACAGGGTAAAATATTCCTTATACTTTTTGAGAAAGGGTTAGAGAAAATTTGACCTTACAAAATCAGGGTAATCCTTAAAAAGCGGCCGTTGGCAAGGGTGATCAGGGTGAAACACCCTTCAAATTTGAGCCTTGCTACCGAACTATCAACAAAGATATTTATGTAGCTTAGCTAGGTCATATTTATTTATAGCCTAGCTAGTTTAGTTCTTAGTGAGTACAACCCTAGTTTTGTGTCCTTCGACATTTTCTCTTAGTCACAACTTTTCCCGCTACTCTAACATGGTATAGAGCTAGGTAAGATCCTCTTTTTTTTTCTTCTTCTTCTTTTTTGTGCAGTTTCTCATGCTTCTGCCGTTACTCCCGCTACCACCGTTACTCCGTTACCACCCTTACTATAGCTTCTTATTTTTTGCGCGTGTGAACCTCTCTTAATTGTGCGCACTGTAGCCTTCCAATTTTGCGCACTGTAGCCTTCCAATTTTGCGCTTCGTAGGCTCGAGCTCCCTCCCCCCCTAGCGTTCGATTTTTTCTTTTGTGCGGTAGTCAGCAGGCCGGCACGCCAGCCAGAGCGCTAGCGAGCTCGCCAGCCAAAGCGTTAACTAGCTAGCCAGCCAGTTAGCCAGTTCGCTAGCTAGCTCGTTAGCCTGCTCACTAGCCAGCCGCCTTACATCTCAAAAATGGGTGGGGCCTTGTTTATGAGGGGTGAGCTGAGGGAGTCTCGAAGGGCTCGGGGCTGGTTGTGGTTTGTTCCCGTACACGCCCATTTGCTCCAAGGTGGCCGTGTACGAGAGTATCTCAATTGTAAATGTGGCAGATTTGCTGCAGAAACGCCCAATCGCGGTTCGAGATGTTATTCCGCAACGCCAAAAGTTTGTCATCTACTGTTGTCAACACAACGTTTTTTATCAACGGTTACGATCTATTTCTCAGTTTGTTTCATGCGAGCTCAATTTGTATACAGTGATGTTACACACATTCGTCTGGCCCACGCGAGGCGTGGTATCCCGCCAACATGGCAAATTCACATGCCTGTACACGACTTCGAGCTGCACGATCAGCCCCCTAACGGTGGTTTGTTGAACGACTAGCTTACGTGGATCCTTGACTGGGTTGAACGGCAATATCAACCCGTTACGCTTCTCCCACCTCGCATGAAACTCGAAATTCTGATTGGTTCAATTTTTGTTTGCCCTGGAGATTTCGCGAAGAAGCGTCGCTCGCGTGCGAATGCTACCACAGTTTGAGCGCGAAGGTTTCACATGCGATTTGAATCGTAGATTGTAATCTAATGGTGGAACGTTTCTCGCAGCAGATTGACAAATAACAGAGCGCCAACACACAAAATGGGGACATTCGCGACGCGAGGTATGGACCGTCCCAACATTGCATTGCTTGCTAGCAGAGAGTGCTGACTGTCTTGTCTTGGCTTACATTGTGTTTCCTCACTCATTCCAAGCCTCCAGATCTCACCATATTATGCAAAGAATGTGACTCGGGCCCGTTTCAGAGGTGGGCAGGCCTACAATCTCACATTAGTAGCATCAATTGTAGGCTTGTCGCTGCTAGCAAGAGGGGAGAGGGCTCATCTCCAACTTCTCAAGAAGTTTCTCAAAGTCCAACAAGGCATCTCCAAGCGCCTCTCTTTCAAGCTCCCCTTCAAGTCTTCTTCAAGCTCCTCTAGTTCACACCACTACAAGGTTCCTTGTTAGCATTCATGTTCTATGTCTCTAGAGATGGTATTATCATGCTACCTTTCTTTCTAGACTACTATGAGTGGTCTCTCTCTCATGCATGTCCTTGTATCCACCATGGATTATAAGGCTTGTACTATACCCTCTTTCATATAAGTTTATGCTCTCAAAGTTCTCTCACAAAGCTCATAGTTTAGCTAAGTAATCAAGCACTAGTCCATCTTATACCCAACTTGAGTATAAGGTACATCACCAAGCCACAAGCTTGTAGGAAGACTCTCCTCTTCAACACTCGACATTGTGGCATCTTCACTCTTCAAGTACAAGACACTTTCTTTCAATACCACATCCAAGATTGTGGTCCTCCCTTAAGCTTGTGGTCTTCTCCAATTGTAAGTCTTCCTCTATCAAGAATCACTCCCAAGATTCTCTCACTCTTCTTCAGAAGCATCTCTCCCTCGACAAGTCCCCTTTTACTCACTTGACTAACTTTCCTTTATTTCTTTACAAGCACATTATAATCTCATTTATATGTGCTATGGTTCTATGTTTTAAGGAGCTAAGAAGCTAGCTAGTCATGAAAATGGCGAAAGGTTTTAGCTAGGAAGAAAAGTGAGAAGAGAAAAGAGAGTTGGACGAGAAGAGAGAGGGATACAAGTGTCAAATAAGGCTAGGTAGCTACTGTATGTAGGTAGCCATGAAAAGGTAGAGAGGTTTAGCTAGGGGGCAGAATTGTCGAGAGAAAAGAGAGCCACTAAGAAAGAGACGGAGATACAAGAAGTGGGGGGGGGGGGGGGGGGGGGGGGTTGTCCCCCCTACAGCAGGATTCAGCAAGGTAGCACAACTACCAAGTCTAAACAAATTATATAAAATATACATGATTCGACAACAAGAAGGGTGTTGTACCCTCTACAATAGGATCCATTGTAGGACACCTAAAATATGTCAAAGTAACTAGGTAGCTAGGGAAGCCATGGAATGGCGAGATGTTTAGGAAGGAGAGAAAATGTCGAGAAAAGAGAGAGGTAGGCCTAGAAGGAAAAGGGGATACTAGAAGAGGGTTTGTCCTCTCTACAATAGGATTCAGTAAATTGCACAACTACCAAGCCTATAATTATATATATAATTTAACACACCCCCTAGGCTTAGTAATGGCAAGCCCATCCCACCCCCAGCACCCCCACATCCTTGCACCCCCATTCCCTGCAGCAGCAGTGGCGTCGACCAGGGCATGCAAAACGTGCATCACCTGCGGCAGCGGCGGCAGCGTCGAGGCACCTGGCGTTGGTGGTTGCGGCACCCAAGGCAATGGCGGCGCGCTAAACCTGCGACGACGAGGGGGAGGACATCACGATGTTGCCAGCAGCTGCGGCGGAGAGGAAGGGAAAGGCAGAGGAGGGGAAGGGGGGAAGGGGTGGGGGGCGGATTGTCAACGCGGCGCCATGGCTGGCCCGACGCTTACTGGCGTGCGGGCGGGCTGGATGCGGCTAACACAGTGCGCAGCCCGCTGCCGCTCGTGCGTCGACGCCGCCGCAACAGCACGACGACGCCTCCACGGCTGGACGTCGACGCTACGACAGCGCGACGAGGTTGCCACGGCAGAAGCGTCGAGACCGCCGCAACAGCACGACGCGGCCGGCTGAACGACGACGCCGCCACAGCAGCACGACGCGGCCACCATGGCAGCGCGCGCGCGAGAGAGAGAGAGAGAGAGAGAGAGAGAGAGAGAGAGAGAGAGAGAGAGAGAGAGAGAGAGAGAGAGAGAGAGAGAGAGAGAGAGAGAGAGAGAGAGAGAGAGAGAGAGAGAGAGAGAGAGAGAGCGAGAGAGAGAACGAGTGCGCGGCGAAAGCGTGGGAAGAAGGTCTAGCAGGTTGAACCTGCTCTGTTACCATGTATAAGTAACTAGGTACCTAGGGAAGCCATGGAATGGAGAAAGGTTTAGGGAGAGAAAATGTCGAGAGAAGAGAGAGGTAGAACTAGAAAAGAAAGAAATACAAGAAGGGGGTTTGTCCACTCTACAGTAGGATTCAGTAAGTAGCACAACTACCAAGCCTATAATTATATATAACATATAATTAACAAAACCTACAAAGCCTATACGAATATATAGAAATAATATATATGTTGACATTCTATTATTGCACTCTTATCCTATTCAACTGTACAATCATGTACTCTTTTGTTTGATCTCAATTCTTTGCCCTCCTTTCACGCATTGGACTGTAGTGGAGGCCCGGAAACATATATGGGTACCTACTCACTTGTTTGTACATAACACAAGTTATAAAATTGTTATGCTTATAATTGTTATGCTTGAAACATCCCGAAGGCGTAGTCTAAAACTGCGTGCACAACTCGTCATGCAGGCACATCGGACAATCAATGAAATGATGTTCTAGTAATGGGTCTGTATGTAACGAGAGAATAAACTATCCTTAGTCCCCGCCCATCCCGAGCTCCCAGATATTATTTACCGTACTAGTCCTACCACAATTCATGAATGAAGGAACCGCTTCTGTTAGACCAAGTCAGTGGCTCAGGTCAGGTGGCATAGAACACCAGACTTGAACAGCATAGCAGGCAGAGAGGAAGCGTAACTGAGAATAATAGAGTTAGTAGGATTAATAGGAGGAGGCTGCTTTTGCGGCGATCCAATCTGCATCGGGAGTGGAATCATGTCGCTCGAGGGACTGTTTCTGCGGCGTTGGCGGCTAAAATATCGCTGGCGGTGGCGATGGCGAAAGGGCGCGGGGGGATCGCGCGCACGCGGACGAGCGGATTGAACGACACATGGCGGTCCGGGGAGCGCTTGGGCTTCGTCGGCGACGCCAAGCAGCTCGTAAGACCGACGTCGCTGAGCGATCGCCCACGTCGCATATCACGCGGTTGGCTCTGCGACGTGACCGTGCGAGTCTCCGAGTCAGGCGCCACCCGTCCCCATTCAAGGTCCATGTCGAGCGACGAAAATGCGCGACGTCGCACGACCGTTGCATTCGGGCTGCGAACGCTGACCGGCGTCGGCATGAAAGCTCCCGGCCTCCACAAGCTTATGGCGGGTCCTTGGGGGCTTGCCTCAGTAGGAGATTCACAGCTCGTAGCGCCACACGATGCGGACTCCGCATTTCTATCTCCGCTGAGATTTGGGTTCGTCGGAAGTCCTCCTGCTGCCGTCAAAGTCTCTAGGGAAACCAGCACGGTGAGGCGTGTCGCCCGGTGACGGATGATATATCCTCTAGCCGACGCGGCTTGATGAAGCAGAGACCCTTCCGCGTGCTGATTTCGGCATATTTCGCGAGAGACAACTCTGGCAGCTCGTAGCATTTTGGCGCGGTTTTAGAGGATTTGAAGAGGGTTATTTGGACTAAATTAAAGGCCCGGCGGAGCCTGCAACTACCGCGCTAATCAGAGGTAATTGAAGGAGCTAGAGCTAGAAAGAAGAGTTTGAAGAACAAGATTCAGGAAATGTTGCAAATGCATGTGTCATGGAAGAATGGGCTGGAGCAGAGATGCAGGGTGAGATGAAAGCCAAGGAATAGAAGAAACCCTCTTATCAATCAAGACCTTGTTTGACCCGGCCGAGTGCGGAAACAAGTTGACTGGCACACTACAGAGCCTAACTAGCAGGCGAATGGGTTTGGGTTCGGTTGGTTGGGAGGGATGAAACGGGGTGATTGCGAATGAGAGAAGGGGGGATGTCTGGGTGTCGAGGGGAGTGGCAGTCGCGGACCCCGGGAGGGGTGGGGGGGAAGATGGGAGGCAGTTGGGGAGGGAGGAGAGTTTGGCAGGAGGGAGGGCGCATGGATGGGGGAAAGGAAGGGGGAGAAATGAGGAAGGGGGTCGGCTAGTGTACAGAACAATACAGTACACCAAGGAGATTGGTCTACTGCGCACCGCGCGGCGGCAAGTGGGGTATAAAAGTGAGAAAAAGGCCAAGGGTTTGCCTCGCTGTGCCCATCTGAGTCATCAACGCAGCCACGTCAAAATGATGCCCTGTCACCTCGTACAGAACAGTTCAAGTACACTTTTGACAACTGGAGCTGATCCGCGCTGGAATCAAATTCCTCACTTCTCGAGGTTACTGTGGTTTTCTTGGGAGAACTACTGCCGTGGACTGTTTACGAAACTTTTCATAATGTCGTGGACAAGCCCTACTTTCATGGACACCACATCGAAGTTTTGCTTCTCCTGTCAATACTTTCGTGGACTACCGGCTTTCTTCCATGGACACACGCATATTCGCACTTAAAGCGAGAGGTTATTATAGTGACCCATTTTTCTAGTTGGGCCCAACTTGATTCGGACCCTCGAACATATATAGGGGGGACAAACGAGCGGGCAGAAGAAAACGTCGTTTCGGGGCGGGTAGTCATTCAGCAGCAAAAGCATCTGCGACAAATTCGGATATGTGGATGGTTTTATTTATTCCCATAATCCTAGCTAGCGTGCCTCGTTGAGGCTCGTTTGACACCGTATTTTACCGACCTCGATTGGTTGCGATTCAGTCAAACTCAAAAGGTTGGACACGCGATGGGAAAAGTGTGGTTGGCAAGTGGTAGAAGTAAACTTCCTTGATATGGTAGCTATAGGTGGGGAGAAATTTCGACCAATCAGAAAACCAGTTGTGTTCTTCCATGAGTAGTGAACACGGGTCCAACTTGAAAATCAAGTTGAGCCCACTTGGAGAATGACGAGGCAATGGGGTCGCACAAGTACCTGCGACCTGTAACAGCTCGCAAACTCTATCCTACAAATTCCCCAACCAATCGTGTGCTCGCGCTTGTTCGGTCTGAACAGCGCGGCGGCGTTATGGAATTGCCCTGGTTCTGCCGAGTAAGGCTAACAACCCCTTAGAAAAAATCGAGGGTCCCTTGGTTTCAAGTTGGACCCGTCTTCACTATTTTAGCTCCTCGCTTTAAAAAGGAGTATACAGCAATGTATAAGTTCTTACGGGCAAAAAAATAGAAATACTCCGGACTATCTGTCCGTCACAAATAATTGCGCTGCTACAGTATCTGAAACCAGTTCACAAACAGAATCTCGGAGCTTTTCTGGGAAGAGATTGCAGTCGCACTCAAATATGCAATGGAATTTCAAAAATACAAAATACTTAAGGTCCGCGTGATAGAAATACTTATTATTTAAATCAGAGCTACTTAACAAAAACAATGCACGTGTTTGACGAGCCAGCATCAATCAGCAGTTGTTTTTTACTTCGTAATAAATTATTTTATTAATAAGAATTCTGTGAAAAAAAAACTTCTAAGAAATATGTTTTTCAGAATCACTTGTTTTTATTTACATTACCATGTTTCTCGTGAAAAACAAATTCTCAAAATTGTAAATCTAAAATAATTGTGTCATTTTCACGCATATTATTATTATATTATGCACAAAACTTTCAATAGTAATATCTCCGAGGCCTGAAACCTTCAATTTATACAGCCATGTTTATAAAACATTATTAGTATTTGGAGATTTCACATCTTCATTGAAAATGCAAGCCAAATATTAGTTTAAATATTTGGAAATGCCATAATTTATGGTATTCCCGATTCTTGGTGGGCAGAAACTCCAAACCGTTACCTTGGGATAACTGTGGTTATTTCTGAGCTCTATTAACCTTGTAATTATAATATCTATCTTTCTTCTACAACGTGAATCTTTTATAGCGAGGTTTTGCCTACTCCATCTGCTACACTTGTCTTTCAACTAAAACTTCTTCGTCACAGTCATTGAGATGAACTTTGAGGATCGCTTCAGAGTTTCTTCAAACACGCGAAACAGCTAGCGGACTTGGTGGCTTGCAATTACGGTAGCTTTTGATTATTTGCGAGACTTGATTACGCCATAATTTTGTTTTTTCCTTCCATCAGCATCTGTACAGTTCTGAATGTTTTTTTTTATCAAATTCGTGTGTGTCCATTGAAGTAAGCATGGAGTCCACGAAAGTATTGACGGAGTCGACGGGAGAAGCGAAACTTCGATGTGGTGTCCATGAAAGTAGGGCCTGTCCACAAAAGTATAAAACGTTTCGTTGACAGTCCGTGGCAGCAATTTTCCCGTTTTTCTTCTTTCCCAATCCGTATGGGCGTGGGACCTCCAATTCGTAATTTCGACGAGGTATGAATTTCGATAAGGTTACAGGTTTCCGTACATTCTCTTCGCACGTCGCCAAAAACCATCGCCAAAATTCATAACGCATGTTCCACATGCGTCACGAATTCCACCGTTCGAATGGCCACTTTCGAAACCACATTGTGCTGTTCACGAAATGCGGGCGCGAAAAAAACCCTACCGAGCAACAGCGCATGTTGTGTTTCGTCAATTTCCCGCCAACCCAATTTGCGTGCCAAAGGATTTGCGAGTTTTTGCGACAACCGCTTTCGTCAAAGATTGTCGTCAACTCCATAACCCAAATCTTCGAATTTTGAAAGTTGGAACTTCGGAAAGTGGAAAAGGGGGGAAGTTCACGGGACGGTTCGTACTTCCGTCGGCCCGGTTCGTACTGCCCAAACATCGATGTACGTTACCAATTTTGGGTTTGGTGACCGATGTCCCACGCCCTTAGTCTCGAGCAGTTGCCTGCGATGTCCATCAATTGAAACCAGTGAACAGATAGATACACGCCAACACGGGAAAACCTCGGTACAGCGGATATGCCATTAAGTCTTCGAAATTTTTGTCCAGATACTATCCTAACGTCCATAATTCGGTGGGATCCATCACATGTTGTACTCCGATCGTACGGCGTACAGATACTGTAGTGCGTTCGGTCAACGTCGCAAAATGCCCCGTCTGCCATTCTGATGAGGCTCCTTTCGATTTAAGAATTGCTGGATAAAAATCGCATATTAGTTCCGCGAAATCCAATACCGCCATGTATATCACTCGGTCGTAATAAACTAGGTCCGCAATCCATATGGCAACCCAACGTCGAATAAAATATTGCCAGCTGGACAACCAGCAAGTTATTCGCAGGCGCATGTACTGTGCAAACATTTTCATCTATTATGTATTATGATTTCAAACCTATTCAAATCATCGTATCAAAGGCATTCGAGGCGTTTTCCATTTTTTAGAACCAATCACGTAAATATACAGGCTTCCCCTATAATACGAAATGGACCGTCCCGAATACGAAAACACGACCCTTGTTCCCTCAATCACCATAAACAACTGCACATTTCGAAAAATGATTTTCTCAAGGGGGTCTTTTTCACTTTCGTAAAAACATGTGATTGGTTAACAAAACCCCTCAATAAAGTCGTCAAATTTCCGTTCCATTTAACCCTTTTTGTGAGACCACGAAATGGGTTTCCCTTTTTATTTGTTTTGCGTGTTTTGAGTATACGCTGCTTGTGGGAAAGTCGAGAACGAGCTGTGACTTTTTTTTATCCGCGTGTTTCTTACAAGACGACTGATTCGCTGAGCGCTTTTTAAGAGGCCACATGACCTCTCACATAACATGCGGCGAAATCGCTGGTAGCCTGGCCTATGTGGCCAATACGCCAAGGCACCCATCGTAAACAGAACAAGTAAAACGGCCTTCGCCATCCTACATAAAATCTCTAATGCTACTCTATTATCCAGCTTGCTTGTTGCGTACCGCCGCTATTCGTCGTACTCCATATTAGCGAGTCGCGGATTTGGAGCTAACGGAATGCCCGTTGTATTTGTGTCAGGCTTTCGAGGGGGTACACATGGAGCATAACGGACGCCCAGCTCAATACGTGGCCCAATCAGAAACCACCGCCCATTCGCGTTGACACACGGGCAACGGCCCACTCAATGTGGGCCGTGAACAGAGCCAGCAGTGCAGCGTCATCATGACAGCAGTGACAAACATACGGCACAAGACGAAAGATGTGCGTTGTAACTGTTTTCGTCACAAACTTCCAGCCACGCTCGGAATAGCCCTCCGGCAAAGCTCAACGAGCCTTTCGTTGAGCTCGCAAACTTGTGTACGCCTTGCTGAGTTTGTTTGTGGTTTGAGCATCGCCGCATGAAACTGAACGCTGACTTGGCAACGGAATGGAATCGCGATGCCTCGATGTAATGGATCGTTCTCAACATCCAATAGCCAACCTAGAAATCGACTCGTAAAACATATTTTTTATACTCCATCCAGCAGTTATTGTTACGATACGAAAATTCAATTCGTAATGGAAGAAATCTTGAGAACACGCCCCTAATATTTGGAACTGAAAACCGACTCCAAACCTCTCGCGACATTTCACTTAGTATAAAAGAGAGCAAACCAAACCAGAGAAACTCACTCAGCATCTTACCCGCCAACCATCACTCTGATGCCACACAAGAGAAACTCACTCTCGCTTAAAAGCATCGAAACTTAACGCAGGGTAACTGCGACAACAATGGCTCGCCAAAATAAGCCACTCGAATCTTCCCTGCAAAACTTCAAAATGCTAACCTTCGTGTCTGTTCGAAAGGCCCACATGCCCGTGACGATGCCGTGCGAAACCCCTGCGCGTTTTTGTCAACCAGCACCTTGAAAAGTTGTGCTCCTCTGTCAGACTCAAGCTGTACTAGACCGGTGTTTTTGTAGTTTTCGATACATTGAAACTCCTGTGCGAACTGGCGAAGGGTCCTCCGATCCTTCTGTTGCTTGGTTGTGCTACGAAATTTCAAAAGTATAGTACGAGTACACATGAAGTCCTTTTCTGGCCCAGTTTTTTTTCGGGCGGGTGATTCATAGTCAAGCACATAACTTTTACGGGCGAATTGGGCCCATATTGGGTAGTTTGGTTACCTTGTTAGCATTTTCCCGTCTAAAATGGGTGACCATTGTTGTTTGTTTTGCGTTTTTCGGGCAACAGTGTAAGGTTTGAGAACGTCCCGTCTGCACGTTTGGATTGGAGGTCTCCGCATCAGATGTGGTAACTGCTGCAAATCTTTGGGCCTGTGTCAATTGGGCCGTTGCCCGTACGTTCAAATCAATGGGTCTGTAGATAGAAGCGTTGCATTGAATGAATGGAAAATCCAGTTGACGACAGGTGTATCGTGCAGCACCCGCGGAAGGGACGCGGAACTGGGCTGAAGTTTGACCTTTTTGTTGTTTTTTACTGTTGTCACAAAACGACACACGTCAAACAACGTCATGACGTGTCAGCCTGTGCCACTAGATTCACTGTGTAAGACACCTCAGCTAGATTTGTCTAAAGGACAGACCAGAACAAAGCCCCACCGAGGAGACAGCGGTCACACGAAGTGACACAGGTGGAAGAAACACGGCAGCGCCGCAGCGGCAGGTCAAGAAGAATGGTCGGAACGAAGTCCGCCTTGCTCCTGCGCAAGTGTCGCATGGCGCATGACGCGATATTCGCGCACGACGGGACGGGATATGCTTCCGCACACGTCTCGTCTCATCGCTTTGCAATGTTGGCATCGCACGCGTGAGGGGCAGCGAGGGAAATTAATGCATCACATGTGCGGGGCGGGGCGGAACATTGCGCATTGCACGCCATGTTCTTCCTCCCTCCCTGCCCTCTTCCGTCACCTCAACTCCTTGCAAAATTTTCCCCAAAAGTCCTACCTCGGAATGCTCTGCGTGCGGAACAAGCCGAGTCAGGAAGTTCCGGGAAAAAAAAAAAAAAAAAAAAAAACACACACACACACACACACACACACACACACAAACAAACAAACAAACAAACTCTTCACGATGGCTTTATTCGTTTGTACGGCTTTCAGACAACTCAGCACGTCTCATAACCTCCACCAGAAGCGCTCTTTCTTTCATTCGGCTCAGCTGCCCTGTCATGCCAGAAGAAGAGCATCCTTGACGAAAGATCGCAGCTGCCTAGTAGAACCGGCCCCGCAAGAAAGCTTCTCTGCCTGCTCCACATAGTGACGCCATCATGTATCATCCATGCTCAGAGGAAGTTCTTAGACATAACGGCGCGTACCGGTAACGTCGGCGGGATATCGGAGCACGTCTCGCGATTGCAATTCGGATGGAAGAGTCGCTGACGGAACCAAGACGCGAGATCGCAGAGGAATCGGGAGCTTCCGCGTTTAGCGCCGCAAAACGTGGCAGGTGCACCATCGCCGACGCCGGTGATATGAGCTTCTCTCGGCCTGGTGGTTCTTGGAGTCCCTGAGCCATGCCAGTCATCGTTCGCAGCCCGAATGCGACGGTCGTGCGACGTCGCGCGCTTTCGTCGCACGAAATGGACCTCGAATGGGGAACGTCGCCTGAGACTCGCAAGGCGTTGCAGAGCGACTCTCGCGATATGCGAGGCGACGCCGGTCTCACGAGCTGCTTGTCGCCTCCCGGCGGTAAACCGAAACGGTCTCCCGATCGCCACGTGTCCATCACAAAAATGTGGACCTCTCCTATATTGTAGGTATAGTTGTTCGTATAGCAAGGCTACTCCGTAGCAGACGTACCTATGCCATACCTACTGTATACCTACTCCGTATTTCTGATCCTGGAATTTTGGGATGTCGTTCAACCCGCTCGTCCGCGTGCGCACCATCCCCCCGCGCCCAGCCTCGGCCAACCTAATCACCGCAGAAGCCGTCCCAGCTGCTAAATTCGGAGTCACCATGACAGCTTCGACCGTAGGAAACCTCCAGCTTCTCCCACGCCTCTCCTGGCCAAGAATATGTTTCGCCCATTCCGTCTTGAGCGTCGGACTGTTGTTTGTTCCAAGGCGTGAGCCTCCATTCCGCCCCCTCTGATTCGGGACTCGCCACGCCACTACGAGAGGTTCTTCGCTTCCGCGCTTCCGCGCTTCCGCGCTTCTGCGCCTCCGCTTAAAAATGCGGACGCTCGTGAGCATTGCAATGCGCATCGCTCGCTACTACCAAGAACCAGCACTGGCGCTGCCTAGGGGTACATTTGCAGTGAGTCAGTGTAGTTGCTGTGACCCCACTCCAATGTGCAACTGAGCAGAGCCGTGTTCGCTCTACTATACAAAACTGTGGTGTGCATACTTCTTGTACCTGCAATGTACAAGAGGATACCAATCTGTTCATGCTCAGGCTCTTTGCTGATACCATTAGTAAATGCATCTGTTACCTCATGACAGGACCCCATGCAATCGCACAGTTACGGCCCATGGTCTCTGGGATCTACAACCCTCGGAGCCTGCCTCAACGCAGCATCCGACGCTTCCGAAATAAATTGCGAGAACGGGAGCTCTGGCTTGCCAGCAGCAAGAGCAGATACATTCTCTAGAAGGATTCTCCTGGGCACCTTTCCCACCACATAAGCCATCTCGTTGCCCTCCCCATCGAGGAAGGTGTAGTGCGGAATGCCATCCACCCCGAACTCGTCTAGCTCCGCCGCCCATTTCACATTGTCTATGTTGAGAAAAACAAAATTCACGTCATTCCTGGTGTGGGTTGAAGGGAGGCAAAGGGGTGGAGGAGAGGGGGGGAATGGGGGGGAGGGGAGAGAAGGGGGATTGAGATCAATGTGACATCTCGTGTTGGAATACTGAATAGGCAACCTGCGTCAGAGTCTTGGGCAGAATCACAAGAAGCCATTGGAAAATCTAAAAAATATCTCACGAACAATCAACTTGATTGTGCTATCACTTTTGCGACTCACCTGAATTCCTGCTCGACCTTGAGTGTGTCCCAGGTAGTCTCACGCCATTGACATTGAGAAAGAAGTGATATACATATATTGAGTGTGATTGTGATTTCATTGACATTCCTGCTTGATTGTGATGCCAAAGCCCTATCTCACCTGTACTGCTGCTCGACCTTGAGTGTGTCTCTGGCAGTCTCCCGGCAGACCTGGCATTAGGCGAATGGAGGAACAGGGACCGGGGGGGCAGGGCGAACGTGGAGGGGAGGGGGGACGACATCGGAGGGGCAACGGGGGGAGAGGGTTTGAGAGGGTAAGGTAAAGGAAGGGGGAATGGGAAGGGTTTGGGGGGGGGGGGGGGGGGGAGGAGAGGGAAGAAGGGGGGAGGGATAAAGGAAGTGGAGGATACTCGGGCAATTGAGCGTGCATAACGGATTTATAAGTTTCCGCAAGTCACAAGAGTCCAGCTATTGACCACCTCACTCAATGCCTGTACCTGGCACCAATCGGCGTAGAATTCCACCACGGTTGGACGTCCGTTGCCCAGAGCCTAGAGTGAGGAGAGGAATGAGGGGAAGGAAGGAAGGGAACAAGAATATTGCCTCCGAAATATCATTCTCACGCTCTCGCGGCGTCACGCTCTCACAGCATCCCGCTCTTCCTTCCCCAAGATGTTTCCGGCATTGCGCAGGGCTCATCTTTTGGGCAGCGGAAGCGGGTAGCGGGCAGCCAGCAGCGGGCAGCGGGAAGCGGGAAGCAAGACGGGCAGCGGGCAGCGGGCAGCGGGCAGCGGGCAGCGGGCAGCTGGAAGCGGGCAGCAGGAAGCGGGCAACGGGAAGCGGGCAGCCGGCAGCGGGCAGCGGGAAGCGGGTAGCGAGCAGCGGGAAGCGGACAGCGGGCAGCGGGAAGCGGGCAGCGGAAAGCGGGCGGCGGGCAGCGGGCAGCGGGCAGCGGAAAGCGGGCAGCGGGAAGCGGGCAGCGGAAAGCGGGCAGCAGGAAGCGGGCAGCGGGAAGCGGGTAGCGGGCAGCGGGAAGCGGGCAGCGGGCAGCGGGCAGAGGGAAGCGGGAAGCGGGCAGGGGGAAGCGGGAAGCGGGCAGCGGGCAGCGGACAGCAGGAAGCGGGAAGCGGGCGGCGGGCAGCGGGAAGTGGGCAGCGGGCAGCGGGCTGCGGGCAGCGTGAAGCGGGAAGCAAGACGGGCAGCGGGCAGCGGGCAGCGGGCAGCGGGCGGCGGATAGCGGGCAGCGGGAAGCGGGCAGCGGGCAACGGGCAGCGGGCAGCTGGAAGCGGGCAGCGGGCAGCGGGCAACGGGAAGCAGCGACCCCACCCATCTGGATCCGTGAAGCCCTCTCGTTCTTCGCACCCAGTTCATCCCATCCTTCACCCAGAGTAATAGGTATAACTCTAGACGCGTTTAACTACCTCATCGAAGCTGGCCGACCGCGCTGCCAATGCAGAGAGGTCTGTGCCTGCGCCGGCCACTCTCGTCAGCACGAACAGGCCCACGGCAGCAGACACCGAGGCTAGCGCCAAGCCTCGGTACACCTTCTCCCCCGGCATAGGAGGTTCGGAAGATGCCGTCGAGGCAGGCTCTGGAGCGGCGGCAGCAGAGGAGGACTCGGGGGGATCAGGTGTGACATTAGGTTCGGGGGTAGCTTCGGTATCAGAAGACGCTTGGACAACAAGATGCCGATGGCGTAAGCTCAGCTGTAGCTGCTTCAGTGGTCTGAGTTGAGTAGTGGATGCTTGATTCAAAGTAAGCCTCAGCCGAGATATCCGATTGGAGCCATGTCGTTGACTTGTGCTTGTTGTGACATGACTCGTTAGCGAAGACGCGTATAGCGGGGCATTTGCCTTACAATGACTCGCTAGCGGGACAGTGACGCCTTGAACTCTCGCTAAGCGACTCGCCGCGGCACCACGTGCAGCTAGGGTAGACATGGGAAATGTTACGATCGGGTTCCGATACACAATTGATCGAGTTCGCTGAGATTCGAGCGCGCAGCGAGACGGCTCAGGCGGAAGTCACTACACACTTGATTGCGCAGCAGGCTATTCTACCAAGACGATAATCTAAGGAGGCGTAGTGATAAGGTACCTGCCTGTTGGGATACTGTAATCTAGAGGACGCAGCCGTACAGAAATTCTATGACTTGTAGCCTTTCACGCAAAGAAGTTTGCCGGGCTCGGAATATCCAGGGCTTGTGCTTCCGATGGGACGGGGACCAATGGAAGTTTTAGATGCGAGCATGAATGTTGCAGGGGAACGGGGGAAGAGGGCCCTGCAGCTGGTTTTAGGCGCTCACTAACAGGCGCTGGTGGTGACACGTCGACCAGACTGGGAGACTGGATGAAATGGAGCCACGTTGAGGAGCTAAGAGATGCTTGTAATGAGTACACGCACTACTGCATTAGATGAACCATGGCGAAGTTTCAAAGTAGTCTGATTTAATTTATGTTTTGTATAACAATATCGGCATTAGCAATTAAAACGAGAGGTGAAAATATTTAATGCTGGCCCACATTTAAAGTGGGCTTCCCCTAGTGACCTGAGTTGGAAATCTCTGACAAAGAGGAGCAATTGTGGTTATGTTTTGCTTGGGGGTATCAGATTTGAGAGGGGTGTTTGGGCTCGGATGGAAGCATGTGTGATAGACGATTTCCCCGAGACTACCCTTAGCGAATCAATCATGCTTCCACCTGGCGACATTGTTCCTGTGTGTTATCCCACAGCAACCTTGTCGCACCTGTCGTATGACTGCTTCATTCCCCTGCGATTTCGCATGGGCGTCGCGTTTCTCCCAGTTGAACCCAGCCTGGATCGTTCAAGTCTCTTTGCGATCCCTCAGGTGTTTCATTGTCGCATGGCCTGTCGGTTCTGTGCTCCCTGCGAAGTTTTCGGTAGGCTTCCATGTCGCAGAGTATGTCGTCTCGTCATCAGAGTATGTCCCTCACTTTCTTGCAAACGACCCTGCGATTCGCCGTTTCGCGTGTGCGAGCAGTTCATCCCCTCCCCACCACCATGTGCTTACAGGAGAAGTGGGCGTTTTGCTGGCACCTGTAGAAGCATGTCGGAGAAAGTCACACACCTCCAGCCTGCACATTCGGTATTGGTGCTCTAGTATTCTATGGGCACTGCTCGCTCAGCTACTCCCCAAATGCTGTTGGTTTAGCTTTCCTTAGTCGGTGATTATCTTCCCTTGGTTTCCTTCCACTCAGGCACCACCAACCCGACGATTGCATACACTCGTAACTCTCTCCTAGTGCATCTTCGCACCGCGGTCTCCTACCCAACAGCATGTATTCCTCACGAGTTGGTTCTCGTCAGCTTCTTGTGCTGCTTTCGCTCTTGGCACTTCTGTGGCAACCCGCCTTAGCTCGGACAAAAATCGGCTTCATTCGACGAGCAGCTAGCGCGGACGGCACGAGACAGGTCGAAGAGATTTACGCGCCAGACCCCACGCCAGCTGAAACAGCCGCGCTCCCCGTGCATGTCTACAGAGCCAATGACGGGACGCTGGTTGAAGAAATCGAAGCCATTCCTGCCGAAGCTGTGACGCTTTTGGAGGGCGTTCCTGTCGCTGATGCGACAGCTGAAAGCGCTATGGCGGGGAATGCTGCTGAGAACTCGTTAACAGGATCAAGTGACAGACCGCTAACGCAGGCCGAGCTGGACGCTCTTCTCGGGCTGACGATGGAGGATACTGAGCGTACGGCCGTTCGAATTCATGGGTCACACGCAGCTGTCTGAAACATATGAGATAGCTCGTCACATCTTTGGCTTGTGTTCTTAGGGGCTTGGGATCCTTACCTTAGGTTTCATCGTGTGTGAACGTGAGGGCCCACACGCCTCCTTGAAGGCATTGATTAGGTTTCTCCAACCATTGTTGGATGTATTACATCAAGCGGAATTATATTGTATTGTTAATTGAATTTTCCCCTTGCTAACATGTGTTGATCTGGAATTTTGAGAATCTAACGTCCTAGGGTTTAGTGTACCATTAGAAGTAACCCTCTGAATTTCGCTTGACGAGTCAATGAGCTTTCTCCAAGGTTCGCGCTTCCCAGGCCCGACGAGCCAACCAGAATTCGCACAAGCCTCGCTGTCAGAGCTCCAGTGTTCCCCGCCAAAGCCTGTCTGACGACTTCTGGGAGTTCCGGCTTCTGGGATCCTGTCCTCACCTCAGCAGAAGGGTACAGCATCTCTGGGCTGGGCCCAGGGTCACGAACTGGTCTAGCCATTTCCAGTTGTCATGGTCTCGGGGTAATCCCAAGGAGTCCTTATCATCCTCTTATCATCGAGCCAACCTTGGTTGTTCTCGTGTTGTTGTCTGGCTTGTCTATTTTCCACGGGATTCAGTGTGCTTCTGAAGCTGCCTGGTGCACCTAGTAGTGGTCTGAGGTTCCCGAGATCAGGAACATATCCACTCTAGGGAATAGTGAGGACGTATCTTGGCAAGGCACCATGAGTAGATTCGATCAGAATCCGTTTGATGAGGAGACGGATAGGAATCCCTATTCCGTAAGTTGAGGAGTATAGCTTGTAAATCTGTCGCTTCACTGGTGATTGCCATGTCCTTATAATTTGAGAGAGCCGGCTTCTTTTTGGCCTAATCCGTAGAAGCTGACTCCATTTCACTGTTCGTCACATCCTCATCATAATCGTCCCTCTGCAGCAATCAGGTCGTCAAGGCGGCGGCTCGTTCTTCGATGTGAGTACGCAATCCATGTCTTTGATTTTTCAGAACATACATGTTTCTAGAGCTTTGTCAATGCAAGAGCAGTTCGTAGCACCATGTGCAGCATCACCTCAACACGAACTTGAGCTCATGAGCCGTGGTTGGTGTTGACGAGCAAAACGTACGCGATCGAGTGCAATGAATTCCCATATCAAAATGACAGCAATACCACGAATTTCTCGAATCCGCGTGTGCGTGCAGAGCCAACAGCCCGGCATCGCCATGACCGGCATGATCGACAGGCCCTCTCCGTTGCCTCCTGAAAGCCGCAGCGGATCCACGTTCGACGTAACTTCTGATGTTCAGTTCAGCCCGCGGGTAAGCTTGGCGAGCATGCTAAATCATGTCCCCCGCCTCCCCGCCTCCCCGCTCACCCACCTGACCCCGCCTACTCTTCCCCCCATTCCCCTCTTCCCCGTTGAACGCCCTGCTGTAACTTGCGCTCGCTAGTTGTGAGGGTCTTCGCCCCAGTCCAGACGCTTCGGCGTTGTTTTCTCCATTCATTCACTCGATCTACTCTTCCACTCCGCGTTTCGCATCTTCCGCTCGGTGTCCACGTGTCAGGCGCTGAGGAAGAAACAGAAGGAGCTGCAAAGCCGAGAAGCTGTACTGAGGAAAAAGGAAGAGGTGCGAGTTATTGCTTCTTTTCCAATTTCCCGCACGCTTCTCAGCGATTGTTTCGTCCGCCTTGGCTTCCTGTTTTTTGGCGTCTTGTCACTTCGTAACCTTGGCAGCCTCTCGCCTGGCTCTTCCTGTTCCCCACCCTTCTCGTTGTCCCCTGCCTATCTCATCAACCCCTGGTGCCTCCATCTCGCATTCACCTGTGACCGTTCCGGGGATTTCGCCTCTGCATTGGCACAGGAGCTGGCAAAGAGAGAAGCATGTGAGTACAGCTTTTCTCTGATATCGGGCTTTCTTCCCAGAAGTGCCGAGTGTCACAAGGGTCACTACAGCAATTTCCTCTAAGCCTGTGTTTCACTCGTTTCAGAAAATTCTCTATCACTCATCCTCCGTGCCTGCTCAAAACCTCGCTCGTGTCATGTCAATCCACCTTCTCCTTGCATCCTCCTTACTCACCATCTTGTCTCCTTTTGGTCCCCTCCCTGCAGCGCTTGGCATCATGACCAAGAATTTCCCGCCATTTTTCCCCTTGATCCGGAACAACATTCGAGAGGATGTGCCCGAGTATCTGCAAGGCTTGATGTTCCTCGGCTTCTGGGTCTGGATGGGTAAGTAGTGGGTCCACTGTTAGGTCCTCTAGACGCGTCCCGCAGTGCTTCCTGAGCCCGTAGACTATGGGGTGAATATGGGCTGGAGAATGATGTCCAACCGTTGCATGGGATCACAGATTGCATTCATGACAGATGCAATCTGCACCAAATCGGCATTCTTAATAGCCCCACTCTGTTCTGACCTCGGATCTGCGTTCCTGCAGGTACCATGGCAACCCTGTTCTACAATCTCGTCCCCATTACAGCAGCATGGATTGGTGGCGCCTACGACAGCTCTCCTGGTAAGCCATCTGTCAGACTGCTCAAGGTTCGATTTCACTTGGGGGAAGGATGCAGTGCGAGTCAGAAAGCACCCACGGATTGGGCATTTCCCATACTTCGAAGCCACTGGTAAAAAGTCACAAACCTTCATCCCCCTTTTGTGCTGCCTCGATATCCTTTGTTGTAATCATGGCAGGATTTGGGAACTTCTTCATGGCGCTGCTGTATTTCATCATTGGAGTGCCGGGCTCCTACTTCTTATGGTACTCTCGCCTGTACTATGCGATGCGCAAGGACAGTGGCGTTGGCATGGCTTTCTTCTTCTGTGGCTTCATGGTATGGCCTCCACGTTCCATCTTGCTTTTGGGGGAGGTTTTCCAAATAGCAGGGCGATGAGCCTTAGAATGGGGTATGGATGAATGCTTTTTGAGGAATGTTTTTTTACCGTTGGCCCCTTCAAATTTCCAATGCAGACCCACGTGCTCTTCTTCATCTTTGCTGCCATATCGCCTCCATTCTCGATCGGCAACGCGTTTCAAGGAAGCTCTTTTGCGTGAGTCAAGCGTATCTACCATGTTGTACAGCCTGTTTTTCACCTTTCTTTGGTTTTCTATCGATGCACCTCCTGGATCACTGCACTTGCCTGAAATTCTAACCCCGTGTCATCGTTCCTTATGGTGCACTTGCAGCGGCGTCATCTCAACGATTAATGTCTTTACACATGGATGGGGCGTCATTGGGGTATGTAACAGAATTGCGCCACCATACTTCTATATGTAAGGATTTCCGTGCGTGATTAACCTGATGACACATGGGTCCTGGCATGTATTGTCTCCCTGCGGTCGTTTGTGTCTTTCCTGCAGATATTTTATGCCATTGGTGCTGTTCTCTTTGTTGCCGAGGCTTTCTTCAGCTTCGTCCTCATCATTGTAAGTCTCAATCTGACCCCGGCCACGGTTTGTCGACTTTTCCTGTCACACCGTTCACTTCATTCTAGGCCTAGTACGTAATTGTCTTGAAGGCTCTTCTGTGAAACTCATGTCAACATTTGCCGCTTTGCTCTCGTCTCCTTGCAGCGAGTTTACGCCTACTTCCGCGGGACTGGTGCCATAGTGCGAATGAAGCAAGAAGCTGCTCGATCGGCAGCATCGAGCTCATCTGCTGTCTGAAGTAACCAAGATTGTCACCATTTACCACTACCTAGGTGGCAATCATTATATCTCCATGGGTATACAATACATGTAGGTTTAGCAGGCTACTTGGAGAATAGGGTACATGGTGATCTCCATTCGCCAGCAATTACACCAATCACAGTCTGCCTCGCCGCCCCTGTGATTGCATGCAGCGTCTGCCATTAACATCTCTGTCATGCATGCACCACTCTCCGGGGATTGTTCAGTAGCGCTTTTTACAGAGGAAGGTGGGAGGAAAGTTGCTCTATATCTGATGTCAGCGTGTAACCTCAACATGAGGCTTGGTGATGTTCAGCTAATCAACTCGCGATGATGTTTGGGAGCCATGAATAAGAATCTGAGAAGGGGTGATGAGACCAGAGAAGTGGGCGAGGGTGTTCAATATAGGAGCCGCAACACCCATGGTGGTAATTTCCGTAGGAATTTATCATCTTCATTTAGATTCCAGCTTCTACATTTATTCGTGGCACAGTGTTGATGTCGTTATCAGGGTCAATGGAAGAGCGGGCACCCCCCAAGGTGTAGCTCCGAGTATGGGTAATTTCATGCGTGTCGTGTACCCCGGAAATTTCCAGCTGACCAGATTCGTGGTTTGGATCACTGTACTAGCAGTCAGCAATTTCTCGATTCCAGCAGTGGAAAATTTCCGCCCAGGGAGAGCTGGGTTCCAGCTGGAGCTTGGCATTTTAGGCCCTGGGTTTGGCCCCTGTTTCATCTCGAATTTTGTCTCTGCCCGCTATGTAGGGCCCTGAAGTGGCGCGGAGGGAGCCTTCTGCTCGGCCCTGAATATCGCCCCCAACATCGCCCCTGAAGTGGCACAAAGACATGTCGAGGTAGGTTTCTGGCTGGTCATGGCTGCTAGTCAGGGTCCTAGTCTGGTGGCCAACTTCCAGAGCGGTTGAGAGCTTTGCGCGCCTGATTAGAGCGATTTAAAGCTCTGAGCGCCCCACTTGACTAGACTGAAACGTTGACTAGAGGCGAGTCCTTGCCCTTGGTCCGCTCTGCGGACGTTTCCCTCTGCCTGCCCCCAGCTAGTCGCTCCAAGTCATGAGTCCGCCAGTGTTTGGCGGAACCACTCCAACAGCTTCCTTTCATCCTCTTACCATGCAGCCAACATATTTATTCCACGCAACCAACAGCTTTCTTTCATCCGCTTGGTTGCGCTGGTTATCTGGCTTGCCTATTTATTCCACGGAATCCATTCCACGGAATCCCCAGCGTGCTTCTGAAGCTACCCGTGCTTCTAGTGGTTATATAAGGTTTCCGAGATCAAAACGAGATTCTGCCAAGTCGCCATGAGTAGATTCGATCAGAATCCGTTCGATGAGGAGACGGAGAGGAATCCCTATTCTGTAAGAAGAGAAATTTACCTTGTGTCCGTGTTTGTCCCTTCACTGCTAGTAGTTGCCATATTTCAAATGTTTCAGATTCTTTCTGGCCTATTCTGCAGGACTTAGTACTAAATTAGTACCTCCATTTTTCTGTTCGTCACATTATCCTCGTCGTGTTGCTTCCTCTGCAGCAATCGGGTCCTCGAGGCAGTGCCTCGTTCTTCGATGTGAGTACGCCGCAATCCTTATCCGTTCGATTTCCAAGGCAGATATCATGCTTCGAAAGCTGCGCTTTGTCACGAAAGGGCCCTTCCAGTCCAGCAATGTAGTGCGAGTGCAGTCAGTAGCACCACGTGAAGCGGCAACAGCAAGAACCTTGGTTATTCCAATTACGCATTGTAAGAGCAGTCAGTAGCACCATGTGAAGCGGCAACAGCAACGTGAACCTGGGCTCGTGCGCCATGGTCACACAAGTCGTGTTGACGAGCAAGGCGTACGCGATCAGGTACAGGTGTACTCTGACAGCAGTGCAGCCACGCATGTCTCAAATCCCTGCAATTCTCAAATCTACGCATTTCTCAAATCCGCGTGTACGTCTGTGCAGAGCCGACAACCCGGCAGCGCCATGACCGGCATGAGCAGCAACAGGCCCTCTCCGCTGCCCGCCGGCAGCGGATCCACCTTCGACGTAACTTCTGATGTTCAGTTCAGCCCGCGGGTAAGTTCGCCGAACAATTGGCATCATCCCCCCCGCCTCTCCCCACTCCCTCTTCCCGACACCGCCTACTTTTCCCCCTATTCCTGCTTTCCCCTTTTCCCGTACCTCCGCCGCTTACTGGCTATGTGAGGGACTTCGCCCCAGGCCAGACGCCTGGCGTTGTTTTCACTTCCGTCAATTGATATAATATACGTTTCCATTCCGCATTTCTCAAATTTCGGCCGGTGTCCGTGATTCAGGCGCTGAGGAAGAAACAGAAGGAGCTGCAAAGCTGGGAAGCTGCACTGAGGCAAAAGGAAGAGGTGCCAGTTATTGTTTTTACTGTTTTTTGCTCGCTACGCTACTCAGCGGTTTCATTGTCAGCCGTTGGCTTCCTGCGTGTCGGCGTCGTGTCACGTTGTGAATTGTTTCATGGACAGCCTCTCACTTCCTTCTTCATATTCCCCCTCCCTTCTCCTTGCCATCTGTTTATCACATCAACCCCTGGTGCCTTCATGCCGCAATGACCTGTGACCGTCCGTTTCGGGGATTTCTTCTGTGGTTGCATATCGGCACAGGAGCTGGCAAAGAGAGAAGATTGTGAGTACTAAGGGGCAGGCTTTCTTTCCTTAAAGCCCAGGTCCCAAATTAGTCAGCTGCGCACCAAACTGGGCCCAGTTTGATATGTTTTTTTGCCCCCAAAAAGTGCCCCAACCCTGGCTTCGCCACAAAAGTGACGCGAAGTTGCTCTTGCTGAATCTACGGTTGAAATCGTACTTTGTAAAATGGGACTCAATGTGTCATTGAGTCCCAGCCGTCGATCGGCCTTTCCAGACCAGGCTCTCGAGATTCAGTGAAACTGGAATCCATTATTCACCCTACGGCTGTAATTGTGCTTCCTTTTTGGGACTTCATGTGTCCCTGCATCCCAGCCGTCAGATTCAAACTGGGCCCAATTTGAAGTCACAAAACAGCAGGGCCCAGTTTCCTTACGAAAACACTCGCGAAATAAAGAAAGTTGCAAGCTTCCGCACCCAATCATTTCATTTGCTTTCGCCACCTGCCCAGCCCACCTACCTCGCGTTGACTTTGAGGAACTAATTTGGGATCTGGGCTTTAAGCACTGAGTGTCACGAAGGTCTCTACAATCACTCCCTCTAGCTCGTCTTTTACTTGTTTCACGTGAATATCTATTGCTCATCCTCCTTTCTCGCGCGAAACTCTGCTCCTGTCATGTCAATTCGTTACATCTTCCTCGATTCGGTCTGCTTCTGATCCACTCCCTGCAGCGCTTGGCATCATGACCAAGAATTTCCCGCCATTTTTCCCCTTGATCCGGAACAACATTCGAGAGGATGTGCCCGAGTATCTGCAAGGCTTGATGTTCCTCGGCTTCTGGGTGTGGATGGGTAAGTGGTGAGCTGGTAGTGAGGTCTTTTGGACAAGTGCCACGGGGCTTCGTGGTGAATTTGGGCTTTGGTATGCTGTTTAGCCGTTACTTGACTAGGGTGAATTGGTCATATAAGGGAAATTTTGTGCAATGTGTTTACATATGGCGCTTTAGGTTGCAAATGGATCCCACATAGCATTCATGGCAACATGCAACCTGCACCAATTTGACAGTCTCAGTTGACCTTCTCCTCTATCCTGATTATGGGATCTGCATTCCTGCAGGGACAATGGCGGCCCTGCTCTACAACCTCGTTCCCATCACAGCGACATGGGTTGCTGGTGCTTACGAAGGCTCAGCAGGTAATCCATCTGTAATACTCTGGACAAAGTTTGTATTCAAACTTGGAAGCCGTTTCAAAGTCCATTTCAAAGGAAGATGCAGTGGCAGTCAGAAAACACCGATTGCTTGAGTCCATTTCAAAAGGACACCCCCCCTGATCTGAAGTCACTTGTAAAAGTCACGAACCTCGCCCTTTTGTGCTTCCTCGACTATTTTGTTTCTATCTCTGCAGGATTTGTGAACTTTTTCATGGCGCTGCTGTATTTCATTATCGGAGTGCCGGGCTCCTACTTCTTATGGTACTCTCGCCTGTACTATGGAATGCGCAAGGACAGTGGCGTTGGCATGGCCTTCTTCTTCTGTGGCTTCACGGTATGGCCTGCACGTTCCAGCTTGCTCTTTGAGGGGCGGGTTTCCAGATGCCAGAGCGTGCAACCCTCCTCATTCTGTCTGTTTCTGAGTCAACGAATGCTTGTTATTTGCCATTGGCCCCTTCAATTCTCCAATGCAGACCCATCTGCTCTTCTTCATTTTTGCCTCCATATCGCCTCTAATTTGGATCGGCCAGTTTCGAGGAACCTCTTTTGCGTAAGTCCAGCTTATTCGTCATGCTGTTTAGTCTTCTCATGAACCTTCTGTGGTTCAGTATTGGTCCACTTCCGAAATCACTTCATTTGCCTAAACGTTCAATGCCATCTCGTCACTCAATGTGATGCATATCAGGGGCGTGGTCACAACTATTGATGTCTTTACACATGGGTGGGGCATCATTGGGGTATGTAACAGAGTCGTTTCACCATACTTGCTTGTTGAAATTTTCCCAAATTATTTGCTAACAACACAACCATCCATAATGCTTTTTATGAAGTGGTGTCTATGTCTGATGGCATATATTTTCCTGCAGATTTTCTATGCCATTGGTGCAGCTCTCTTTGTTGCTGAAACTACTGTCAGCTTCGTCCTCGTCACTGTAAGCCATCTTGACGTTGGCCATGTTTTGTGGACTTGTCCTCTCGCGCCATTGACGCCATTTGAAGCCTCGTTGATTCTGTGAAATTTAATGTAGTACTTGTTGTTTTTCTCTGTCGTCTTTTTGCAGCGAGTTCTTGCTTACTTCCGTGGGACTGGCACTGCAGTCAGAATGAAGGAAGAAGCTGCTCGATCTGCAGCATTGAACTCATCTGTTGTGTGAAGTAACCAATGTATTTGCCGCTTACCGCTAGATATTTTATGCCATTGGTGCTGTTCTCTTTGTTGCCGAGGCTTTCTTCAGCTTTGTCCTCATCATTGTAAGTCCCAATCCGACCCCGGCAACGGTTTGTTAACTTTTCCTGTCACACCGTTCACTTCATTCTAGGCCTAGTACTTAATTGTCTTGAAGGCTCTTCGATGAAACTCATGTCGACATTTGCCGCTTTGCTCTCGTCTCCTTGCAGCGAGTTTACGCCTACTTCCGCGGGACTGGTGCCATAGTGCGAATGAAGCAAGAAGCTGCTCGATCGGCAGCATCAAGCTCATCTGCTGTCTGAAGTAACCAAGATTGTCACCATTTACCAGTACCTAGTTGGCAGTTCTTATATCTCCATGGGTATACAATACATGTAGGTTTAGCAGGCTACTTGGAGAAAAGGTATATGGTGATCTCCATTCGCCAGCAATTACACCAATCGCAGTCCGCCTCGCCGCCCCTTGGAACGAAGCTTCTGGTTCACTAATAGCTCTGTCGCGCATGTGCCACTCTCCGGGGACAGGGCCCTAGATAGCAGACGAAATCCGTCTGATGGTCTGAAAATCAGACTCGATGTTTTAGGTTCATCTGATTTTTAAGACCACCTGTTTTATTTCGTCTGAACAATAAGACGGAAGTTTAAATTTCGTCTGAAAAAACAGACTTCGAGTTATATTTCGTCTTAGAATCCAGACAACGCGTACATTTTCGTCTGACAACTTCGCCCACTGGCCTTTGTATATGGCTGTGAGCAGGCCCCCAAATTGCAGACTTTTTACTCTGATTCAGACCTTTTTCAGAGTTTTTTTGGGGGTGTACTCTGATTCCAAAGACTTTTTTTTGTATGTTACTCTGATTTTCCAGAGAAGTTTTATGTAGCTACTCTGATTTTTCTGACTTCGTTTACAAGTGTACTCTGATGCTTCATCCTTGTATGGGGGGGGGGACTCTGATTCCAGTAATACCGTCATTTTAGGGGGGGTTGCGAGATTTGCGCTGGTACCTCTGTCGTCACCGTCAATCACGCCCGATTTACATTTGCGCTGGCGCGGCCCGAGCCGTCGGGCGGGCAAATTTTGTGCGATGGCGCCAGCACAGAGATAGCCCGAGCAGCCGATTGGTCCTTGACCAAAACACGGTTGTTTTCGCCAATCCAGAGGCATTTTGCTGGGTGAGGCACAGCAGACGAGGCACCGCACCCATGCTGACGCGACGAGTGCCTGGTTCATCTGTGCATGGACAGCATCTCGCGCGCCGCGATGGAGTTGCAGCTGGCAGACCCCCTCCTTCTCCATCAGTTTTTTACTGACGGGGAAAACGACCCTGCTTCTTCCCCCTCCAGCAAAACTTCAGCCAAGCTTCGTGTAGCCCCTCGGTTTTCTTTCAGTGCGTTTGTTTTCCCACCGCGCCTGCAGGCCATGGAGCAGGCCGACCTCGATGAGGACTTTGACGAGGCAGATTATGACGAACAAGACGAAGAGTACTGGTGTGCCGAGAATTTCCGCGATGGTCTGGCCGCACTAAATTTCTTGCGGCAGTCGGATGCCTCAGATCGTAGCCCTCAGAGGAAGCCTGGTGACGCTGCCCCTGCTGATGGCGATGCACCTGTTCCCAACGCAGCGGGCAAGAAGTCAGCTCCTGTCGCCGGCACCACGCCGTCGGTGACGGCGGCGAAGAGGTTCCGGTACAGGCAGGTGATTCTGCCGTACGCCTCCACATCGACATGCCAGGATCCGCTTGAGCCTGTACCGAGCCCCTTTGTACCTGCGGATTTGCCAGAATCGTCTGGCGGTAGGTCCACTGCTAGAACGAACGAGGACATCTATGCTGAGGCACAAGAGCGTTTCAAATCTCGCTGGTCTGACAGATTCCCTTGGCTCATGCTCTTGAAAACTGACGATGGGCTCCCGGCCTTCAAGTGTAGTGTATGCGCAGTGCATGCAGGACCTGCACGGCGTACCGGCAAAACGGGCAAGGGAGCAAAGGACGTGCAGACCCAGTCGTTCAAGAAGCATGCTGGGACGCAGAAGCATCGCCTCGCCATGTCCAAGCAGGACGATCTCCTGCAACAGGCGTCGAACCAGCAGCGGATCGACCTGCATCCCCGCGCGGCTGACGAAGAGAAGGAGCGAGTCATCGCGCTGCTCGACTCCCTCTACTTCTGCGCCAAGTGTAACGAACCCATGGAAACATGGATTCGTTTGGTGCGATACCTCTCATCGCGCAGTTTCAAGGGCTTCCCGAAGTCTGCCTACGGCACGTACTATAACTGGTGAGCACTCCAGTGAATATGAACTTCTCTCTGTCTCGTGTTTAGATATGAAACGTTCAACAACTTGCCTTGTGCGTGTCATGTAACAGGTACGGCTTCGGCGAGCTGACACAAGCGACGGCAACGTGGCTGCAGACGACTCAACTCCAACACCTGCTAGCGAGTCCCTACATTGGCCTGAGCCTCAACGAAAGCACCGATCGCTGCCGTGGTAAGCACATGATCGTGTTTGCCACCTTCATCCGGGAAGGGCGGCTTGTAACCGAGTACCTGGCTCTGTTGACGGTGGACAAGGCGGATGCGGCATCGCTTCTCGCCCTCTTGTTGTCCCATCTGCAGGCGATTGGCGTCGACCTCGGCCGCATCTCTGGCATAAGCACTGACGGCGCTCCCGTCATGATGGGAGCGCGCTCTGGACTTGTGGCCCGCCTTCGTCTTCGCGTTCCGCACCTTGTCTCTTGCCATTGCATTGCCCATCGGTTCGTCATCCGTTTGCTGTGTGCATGTCATGTATATTTGCTTGTTTTGTTTATAATGCCAATCACTAATTTGCTTCCTACTTTGCATCTCATATCCTTATCCCACGCAGAGAGGCGCTGGCGGCAAAGGCTGCTGCCGAGGAGATCCCCGTCTTCAGCATGGTAGACAACATCATTCGCGAGATCGCTGAGCTGCTCGGTCGCTCCAACCCTTGGCATCAACGGTTCCTGGAGCTCCAGGAGGTGTTCATGTCGACGAACCTCGAGCTCCAGGGCATCCACAACATCCACGGGCTGTCGCGCGGAGATGCTGTCATCCGCCTGGTCGAGGTCCTACCAGCCATCGTGGTCATGCTGCAGGAGTACGACGCCAAGCTGTACACGCTCGTCACAAGTTACCGCTTCTGGCTCCTCCTGATGTTCCTCGCCGACGTGCTCGAGCTGCTGAACGTCCTCAACAAGGTCTTCCAGCAGCGGGAGGTAAATATGTTTAATGCTTGTGTTTGCATGCATGTCGATATTGCTTGTCTCTGCCGCTCGTCCCTTAACCACACATCCCTCTGTGATGCCCTAGCTTTCCTCGCCCCCCTACCCACCAGCTGGACTACACAACGGTGCACGCCCAGATCATCCGCACGACCTCGCTGCTAGAGAGCCGCTACGTGGACTGCGGAGACGACTTCACCGGCGGGCCCAACGATCGATTGACGCGGTTCCTCGCCAATCACGGGCCCGGCAAGTCCAAGCTTGTGACAGTGGAGGGGATTGACTCCGATGGCCGACCTTCACGGTTCACCTTCGAGCTGCACGAAGAGCCCCACGAGGACTACCCGGGGCCCAGCGACCACGATGGGAGTGTCGTGGCGTGCATGGCTCTAGCGGAGGGTCTGGTCCGCAACCTTGACGAGCGCCTAGGCGATCTGCGGCAGCTGTCGGGAGCGCGCCTGTTCAGCGTCGACACATGGCCGCCCAACTGGGACCGACACGCACGGAGGACGCATTGCCTCGAGTGGTTCAATTTGCTCGTCGTCATCTACCGCGCTGAAGACAGGGACGAGATTTTGCCAGGTACATTTGTTTACTCCTTTCAGCATCCCTCTGGCACTGTATCTGAAACAAGTCATATATCTTTTCCTAAACCCTGTGTACTATTTCAGATAACCCAACCCTTCTCCCTTTCCTTGTGTTGTGTGCCCTTGTCTGATCAGGTATAGACAAGCGCAAAGCCCAGAGCGAGCTCCGCAAATTCGTTCCCGTCCTTGCTGCGCTTCCCAAGGCGGACAAGTCATTCCACGCGGGGCTTAGCGCCATGCTCAAGACGCAGGACTGGAGGGACAGCTACCCCAACCTGGTCAACTTGTGGGTGGCGGTGGCTGTCCTTCCGTTGAGCACTGTCGAGTGCGAGCGCGGGTTCTCCCGCCAGAACGTCATCAAGAGTTGGCTGCGGGGGGCTCTCAAGGATACTAGGCTAGGAGATCTGATGTGCATGTCGCAGCTAGAGTATGACCCCGACTGGCAAGAGGTGGTCACCATCTGGCGGGCTTATAAGAAGAGGAAGCCCCTTAGCAACGCCCTCCCCGAGGCTAGTAGCAGTTGGAAGGGAAAGGAAAAAGTAGATGATGATATGCCGGCAGCGCCTCAGCAGAATATGCAGGATAGCGACTGATTCCCTGTATGTGGTGAAATGTAGTGCATTCTCTAATGAAGAACCATAAAAAATACTCATACAAAAGTTTGGCTATAACTCTGATTGGTCAGACAAAAAATTGAAGGCTACTCTGATTTTTCAGACTTTTCAAGGAGATAGCTCTGACACCCATACCAAGGGAAGGCAGTGGACTCTGACGAATCAGACAGGCCCAAAACCAATTTGGGGGCCTGGCTGTGAGGGACTTCACCAAATTTGCAAGTTTTGTGAGGGGTGTGAGAGCAATGTCTCTGGTTTGACTTAGCCGATTTTCCTGGGTCACGGCTTTCGAGGGGTGTGGGAGGGATGTCTTTGGTTGTGGGGACTTAGCTTAAAATTTTGGGTTGCGAGGGGTGTGCGGGGAATGCCTCTGGGCTAGAGGACTTAGCCGAAATTCCTTAGCAGGGGGGATTGTGGGAGTGGTGTCTCGAAATGTTAGCAAAATTTCTGCGCCCGCAACAGTAAAGCTAAGCTGGGTGAATGAGATGAGAATCCTTGTCGACCTGGCATAGCCGGTCGGGTGTGTGGACCAAAAAACACCCTAAAAAGGTAGGTAAGGAAAATAAACTGGGTCCGCTAGCGGACAAAACCTTCGGGCTAGTTCTTCCTTCCAACCCATCGAGCGAGCCAGGGCACATCAGCAAGGGTGGAGAAATCCCCTCAACACATCAGCAAGCGTGAAAAATCCCCCCCCCCCACCCACGAGAAGTAAGAATTCGCGAGATGTGTGAATGTACGAAAAACTGAAATAAAGTACATCGTGTAAATACTACAATTCTGCGATAAACTTTCGTCTGTTTTTTCAGACACATCAATTGTTTTCATCTGAAAAATCAGACTTGTGCATTTTTTCCGTCTGAACGTCAGACGAAGGCAAAAAAGTTGGTCTGAATATCAGACAGGCCTAAAAGTTAGCAAGGACCCTGTCCGGGGATCGTTCAATAGCGCTTCTTTCAGAGAAAGGTGGGAGGAAAGTTGCTCGTAACCTGACGTCAGCGTGTAACCTCAACATGAGGCTTGGTCATGTTCAGCTAATCAGCTCGCGACAATATTTGGGAGCCACCGTGAAAAAGAATCTGAGATGGGGTGATGAGACCAGACAATGTTAGAACGTAATGATGGCCTAGAAACAGGAGTGAACAGGTAAGATATAGGGTTGGTGTTGTACCCCCTAAGAGCACAGGAAAGCAAGCTCGTACTGCCTGTCCTCTATGACGTCACTGCCAAGGGCAGCAGCACCCCCGACGGACGGAGAATGGGCAGGGTCAGAGACCAGAGCGGTGGCGTAGTTAAGGCGGCGAGTAGAGGCGAAGTCAGCGATAGCAATGATAAGAGCGTCAAGACTCGAGACAGGAACAGACGGGTCGGTAACGAGAGAGGCAAGAACCCGAGGAACAAGAGGACGAGCTGCACGGAGGTAGTCAGACAGAGGAGGCGGAGCAATAACAAGTGAGGACGGAGGAGGCAACGGGAGGAGGGGGGGACGAGACGCGTGAGAACGGAGCAACATAGGGTAGGAGCGCTGAATAGGGGAGACAAGACGAGCACGGGAGGGACGACGAGACCAGACGAAAGAAGAAGGCGTCGGGTCAGGAAACAGGGGAGGAGACATAGGAGGGGAACGAGGGGGAAGACGGGCCAGAGACGAGTCCGGCGGAGGAAAGACATGGCCGTAGACATGAAGAGAAGGAGGGGGCGGGGGAAGCGCAAACAAGTGGTCAAGGGAGGGGAAGCCGAGCAGGGAGACCTAGGATGAGACCGTGCCGAGACATGTGACGCAGACGTGAGAGTGCGGGGTGACATAAGCGGTGGTGCCTTAGACGCGACGGGTGAGTGAGCGACCGACACGAGCAAGCCGCAGCAACTTGGGTAGACGAAGGGCCCGGGAAGGACATGCCAGCCGGGGGGGAAGCATTGTCCAGCGTAAACAAGTCAGACACCGGGTCCCGGGGGAACGTCGCAAGGGGGGAACCTGAGGCGGCCTCGGTACACACAGCGTACCGCTCGTGACCAGGGAACGTAGTGGTGACCCCGAGGTCCTGGAGGTAGCCGACACCAACTAAGTTCCTGGAGAACAAGGGGATGTGCAAGCCTGTAAGAGAACCCAAGGGGACCGCTGGACAAGGAAGGGTAGTGTAGCTGCGCGCTACGACAGGACCAGACGAGGGGTCAGCAAGGGCAACAGGGGCAGGCACGGCAAGCGGCGTGAGTGTGGCGTGGTCGCGAAAGAAGCAGGCAGATGCACCAGAGTCAAGTGTGAAGGACAGCGATGCAGTAGCGACAGACGAAGGAGGAGCGCGTGTGGAGCCTAGGCTAGACAAGGCAAACGGTCCTATGCGTGACGCAGCAGGGGAGTCTGTACTACACACAGGTGCTACGCCTAAGCTAGATAACACCGGGTAATAAAATCCGGACACACTAGAAGCGTCAGCATACAGAGAATGCATGGCAAAACTAATATGATCCATATCTAAGTCAAAAACAGGCACACCGTGGCGCAGCAGACTCGGCCAGTCAGGGAGGTCCGGGGCCGGGCCAAAGCCGCGACGGAAGAGGTCGTCGAGGCGGCGGAAGCAGCGGGCGATAGGGCGCGGGCGGCGGCACACACTGCCACGGAGGGGCCCGGTCTGGAGCTGGTACTGGCAGCTGACAGCGCCTGGGCCACCGGTAGACGCCAAGCTGCGCAGGCCGCCACCGCGGCCACCACCTCCAGAGGCTCCTGGCCAGCCCGGCGGGAGGCGGGCCCACAGCTGCTGCTGCGGCGGCTGCTGCTGCTGCTGCTGCTGCTGCTGAGACTGCTGTGGCTGGGGCTGCTCCTAGGCACCAGCCCCAACACCCTCGTCAGAACCAATGTCCCCGCCACCACTAATACCACCACCACCAGCGCCACCACCACGCCCTCCCTTAGGGCCGCGACGGCCCCGGCGCGGTCTCAGTAGCAGGGGCAGCCGTAACTACCGCGGCGGAAACGTCAGCGTACGTGCACTGGGAGGGGGCACAGCCCTGGAAGATAGGGACTGCCGCAACACCGCTCGACTGGGCGATAGTGCGCTGGCGAGTCTCTATCTCAGACAGGGCAGTGACAAAAACGGTCAAGGTGAGGTCACCGGGGTGCTGGCTAAGGAACTGGTCGCGGGCAGTGGCTAAGCGGTCAGGCAGTCCGCATGGCAATGAGGTACAGGGTAGCGCAGAACGGTGGGGGGAAGGCAGTGAGCTGTGCGGCAGTGCTAGCAGCGCGGTAGCTAGTCTCTAGGGCACGGAGGTGAGCGGCAAGGTCAGCGACAGTGGGAAACGCGACAAGGTCTGGGAACAGCATGGGGAGGATCAGGCGGCCAGCAGAGGCGGAGGCAGGTGTGGAATAGCGAGCAACTACAGCACCTAGGAAATCCTTGGCATTGGCGACAGTAGTGAAGCGCGGACGCTCAAACAGGGGAAGGGCATGACTAATGGCTAGCTGCACTACAGCGTCGCGAGAGTCCCAGACAGCGCGAGCGAGCGCAGCAGCAGAGAAAGCCTCACGCTCAGCAGTGGTGGGATCAGCAGGGAGGGGATCAGGCGCGGGAGGGCGGGGAAGCAAGCCATCAATATGGACAGCCAGTGAGTGCCCATCCTGACGCTGACCTATCAGGTGCCGACGGAGATCGACAACCCAGGCGGCGAAGTCGATCGCGTGTCCCTTAGCATCAAGGCGGACAACGGCGTCCGCCATCGTGCAGGCGCAGCGTCACAGCTCCACGGCACCACAACGACACAGCGGCACAGCTACACGACAGTAAAGCCGAACAGGGACTCAGCGGCACGGCGGCAGGACGCTCCGGCGGAAAGACCGAGCACGGAGGGTCGGCGGGTGCACAAGTGGCCAGCGAACACGAAGAGGCCGGCGAGGTGCGCGGGAGGCCAGCTTGGGGCGCAAGGAGCCAGCGGGCGTTCGAGGGGCCGGGCGGGAGCTCGAAGGGTTGGCGAGCGCGCGAAGGGGCCGGCGAGCGCGTGAAGGGCCGGGCGGGCTAGGTGAGGGGCCTCGCGAGCGCGCGCGAGGGGCCGGGCGGGCCTCGCGCGAGGGGCCGAGTGGGCTACGCGCTGGGCCGGACGGCCTTCACGGTCGGCGGACGCACTAGGGGCCGGGCAGGTATGTGGGCGGCGGGCGGGCTACTCAGGCGGCGGGCGCGCTAGGAGCCGGACGAGCTACACGGGCGGTGGTCGCGCTAGTAGCCGGGCGGGCTACTCGGGCGGCGGGCGCGCTAGGGGCTGGGCGGCCTTCACGGGCGGCGAACGCACTAGGGGCCGAGCAGGTACGGGGGCGGCGGGCGCGCTAGGAGCCGGGCGGGCTACATGGGCGGCGGGTGCGCTAGGGGCCGGGCGGGCTACTCGGGCGGTGGGCGCGTTAGGGGCCGGGCGGGCTACTCAGGCCGCGGGCGTGCTAGGAGCCGGGCGGCGGGTACGCTAGGGGCCGAGCGCTCTACGCGGGCGGCGGGCGCGATAGGGGCCGGCGGGTGCACGACCGGCGGGCGCGCTAGGGGCCGGCGGCCGGCAGGCACGCTAGGGACCGGCGGGAATGCGAGGGTCGGCGGGGCGCTAAGGGACCAGCGGGGCGCGTAAGGGGCCGACGGGGCATGCTAGGCCAGCGAGGCGCGCTAAGGGAACGGTGGGGCGGTATGCTAGGGCGAGGGGCGGGAGCGGGTGGGCGGACCTAACCTACTCATGATACCATGTTAGAACGTAATGATGGCCTAGAAACATGACTGAACATGTAAGATATAGGGTTGGTTTTGTACCCCCTAAGAGCACAGACCTATCTAGCCTATAACTTATACATATAAGAATATGTATATGTTAACAGGAGCCGCAACACCCATGATGGTAATTTCCACTACCTACCAGGCTCTACGTTATTGGGATAGCTATCGGTACGTACGTAACGTAGGAATTTATCATCTTCATTTGGATTAGAGCTACATTTATTCGTGTCACAGTGTTGATGTCGTTATCAGGGTCAATGGAAGAGCGGCCGTCCCCCAAGATGTAGCTCCGAGTATGGGTAATTTCAGGCGTGTCGTGTACCCCGGAAATTTCCCGCTGACCAGATTCGTGGTAGCAGTCAGCAATTTCTCGATTTATCATTGTACTAGCAGTCAGCAATTTCTCGATTCCAGCGGTGGAAAAGTTCCGCCCAGGGAGAGCTGGGTTCCAGCTGGAGCTTGGAATTTTAGGCCCTTGGGTTGGCCCCTGTTTCATCTCGAATTTTGTCTCTGCCCGCTATATAGACCCCTAGCTCGGCACCCTAGGAGCCTTCTGCTCGGCCCTGAACATCGCCCGCAACATTGCCCCTGAAGTGGCACCCAGACATGTCAAGGTAGGTTTCTGGCTGCTAGTCAGGGTTCTAGTCAGGTGGCCAACTTCCAGAGCGGTTGAGAGCTTTGCGCGCCTGATTAGAGCGGGTTAGAGCTCTGAGCGCCCCACTTGCCCAGACTGACTGAAACGTTGACTAGAGGCAAGAAACGCACCCTTGCCCTGATTCCATCGCTCCTCCTTTTCCCTTGGTCTGCACGTTTCCCTCTGCCTGCCCCCAGCTAGTCACTCCTAGTCATGAGTCCGCCGGTGTTTGGCGGAACCACTCCAACAGCTTCCTTTCATCCTCTTATCATGCAGCCAACCTAGATATTCCACGCAACCATCAGCTTCCTGTCATCCGCTTGGTTGCGCTGGTCATCTGGCTTGCCTATTTATTCCACGGAATCCATTCCACGGAATCCCCAGCGTGCTTCTGAAGCTACCCGTGCTTCTAGTGGTTATATAAGGTTCCCGAGATCAAAACGAGATTCTGCCAAGTCGCCATGAGTAGATTCGACCAGAATCCGTTCGATGAGGAGACGGACAGGAATCCCTATTCTGTAAGTAGAGAAATTCACCCTATATCCGTGTTTGTCCCTTCACTGCTAGTAGTTGCCATGTTTCAAATGTTTCAGATTCTTTCTGGCCTACTCTGCAGAACTTAGTACTAAATTAGTGCCTCCATTTCGCTGTTCTCGTCACATTATCCTCGTCGTGTTGCTTCCTCTGCAGCAATCGGGTCCTCGAGGCAGTGCCTCGTTCTTCGATGTGAGTACGCCGCAATCCTTATCCGTTCGATTTCCAAGGCAGATACCATGCTTCGAAAGCTGCGCTTTGTCACGAAAGGGCCCTTCCAGTCCAACAATGTAGTGCGAGTGCAGTCAGTAGCACCACGTGAAGCGGCAACAGCAAGAACCTTGGTTATTCCAATTATGCATTGTAAGAGCAGTCAGTAGCACCATGTGAAGCGGCAACAGCAACGTGAACCTGGGCTCGTGCGCCATGGTCACACAAGTCGTGTTGACGAGCAAGGCGTACGCGATCAGGTACAGGTGTACTCTGACAGCAGTGCAGCCACGCATGTCTCAAATCCCTGCAATTCTCAAATCTACGCATTTCTCAAATCCGCGTGTACGTCTGTGCAGAGCCGACAACCCGGCAGCGCCATGACCGGCATGAGCAGCAACAGGCCCTCTCCGTTGCCCGCCGGCAGCGGATCCACCTTCGACGTAACTTCTGATGTTCAGTTCAGCCCGCGGGTAAGTTCGCCGAACAATTGGCATCATCCCCCCCGCCTCTCCCCACTCCCTCTTCCCGACACCGCCTACTTTTCCCCCTATTCCTGCTTTCCCCTTTTCCCGTACCTCCGCCGCTTACTGGCTATGTGAGGGACTTCGCCCCAGGCCAGACGCCTGGCGTTGTTTTCACTTCCGTCAATTGATATAATATACGTTTCCATTCCGCATTTCTCAAATTTCGGCCGGTGTCCGTGATTCAGGCGCTGAGGAAGAAACAGAAGGAGCTGCAAAGCTGGGAAGCTGCACTGAGGCAAAAGGAAGAGGTGCCAGTTATTGTTTTTACTGTTTTTTGCTCGCTACGCTACTCAGCGGTTTCATTGTCAGCCGTTGGCTTCCTGCGTGTCGGCGTCGTGTCACGTTGTGAATTGTTTCATGGACAGCCTCTCACTTCCTTCTTCATATTCCCCCTCCCTTCTCCTTGCCATCTGTTTATCACATCAACCCCTGGTGCCTTCATGCCGCAATGACCTGTGACCGTCCGTTTCGGGGATTTCTTCTGTGGTTGCATATCGGCACAGGAGCTGGCAAAGAGAGAAGATTGTGAGTACTAAGGGGCAGGCTTTCTTTCCTTAAAGCCCAGGTCCCAAATTAGTCAGCTGCGCACCAAACTGGGCCCAGTTTGATATGTTTTTTTGCCCCCAAAAAGTGCCCCAACCCTGGCTTCGCCACAAAAGTGACGCGAAGTTGCTCTTGCTGAATCTACGGTTGAAATCGTACTTTGTAAAATGGGACTCAATGTGTCATTGAGTCCCAGCCGTCGATCGGCCTTTCCAGACCAGGCTCTCGAGATTCAGTGAAACTGGAATCCATTATTCATCTACGGCTGTAATTGTGCTTCCTTTTTGGGACTTCATGTGTCCCTGCATCCCAGCCGTCAGATTCAAACTGGGCCCAATTTGAAGTCACAAAACAGCAGGGCCCAGTTTCCTTACGAAAACACTCGCGAAATAAAGAAAGCTGCAAGCTTCCGCACCCAATCATTTCATTTGCTTTCGCCACCTGCCCAGCCCACCTACCTCACGTTGACTTTGAGGAACGAATTTGGGATCTGGGCTTTAAGCACTGAGTGTCACGAAGGTCTCTACAATCACTCCCTCTAGCTCGTCTTTTACTTGTTTCACGTGAATATCTATTGCTCATCCTCCTTTCTCGCGCGAAACTCTGCTCCTGTCATGTCAATTCGTTACATCTTCCTCGATTCGGTCTGCTTCTGATCCACTCCCTACAGCGCTTGGCATCATGACCAAGAATTTCCCGCCATTTTTCCCCTTGATCCGGAACAACATTCGAGAGGATGTGCCCGAGTATCTGCAAGGCTTGATGTTCCTCGGCTTCTGGGTGTGGATGGGTAAGTGGTGAGCTGGTAGTGAGGTCTTTTGGACAAGTGCCACGGGGCTTCGTGGTGAATTTGGGCTTTGGTATGCTGTTTAGCCGTTACTTGACTAGGGTGAATTGGTCATATAAGGGAAATTTTGTGCAATGTGTTTACATATGGCGCTTTAGATTGCAAATGGATCCCACATAGCATTCATGGCAACATGCAACCTGCACCAATTTGACAGTCTCAGTTGACCTTCTCCTCTATCCTGATTATGGGATCTGCATTCCTGCAGGGACAATGGCGGCCCTGCTCTACAACCTCGTTCCCATCACAGCGACATGGGTTGCTGGTGCTTACAAAGGCTCAGCAGGTAATCCATCTGTAATACTCTGGACAAAGTTTGTATTCAAACTTGGAAGCCGTTTCAAAGTCCATTTCAAAGGAAGATGCAGTGGCAGTCAGAAAACACCGATTGCTTGAGTCCATTTCAAAAGGACACCCCCCCTGATCTGAAGTCACTTGTAAAAGTCACGAACCTCGCCCTTTTGTGCTTCCTCGACTATTTTGTTTCTATCTCTGCAGGATTTGTTAACTTTTTCATGGCGCTGCTGTATTTCATTATCGGAGTGCCGGGCTCCTACTTCTTATGGTACTCTCGCCTGTACTATGGAATGTGCAAGGACAGTGGCGTTGGCATGGCCTTCTTCTTCTGTGGCTTCACGGTATGGCCTGCACGTTCCAGCTTGTTCTTTGAGGGGCGGGTTTCCAGATACCAGCGTGCAACCCTCCTCATTCTGTCTGTTTCTGAGTCAACGAATGATTGTTGTTTGCCATTGGCCCCTTCAATTCTCCAATGCAGACCCATCTGCTCTTCTTCATTTTTGCCTCCATATCGCATCTAATTTGGATCGGCCAGTTTCGAAGAACCTCTTTTGCGTAAGTCCAGCTAATTCGTCATGCTGTTTAGTCTTCTCATGAACCTTTTGTGGTTCAGTAATGGTCCACTTCCGAAATCACTTCATTTGCCTAAACGTTCAATGCCATCTCGTCACTCAATGTGATGCATATCAGGTGCGTCGTCACAACTATTGATGTCTTTACACATGGGTGGGGCATCGTTGGGGTATGTAACAGAGTCGTTTCACCATACTTGCTTGTTGATTTTTTCCCAAATTATTTGCTAACAACACAACCATCCATAGTGCTTTTATGAATTGGTGTCTATGTCTGATGGCATATATTTTCCTGCAGATTTTCTATGCCATTGGTGCAGCTCTCTTTTTTGCTGGAACTATTGTCAGCTTCATCCTCGTCATTGTAAGCCATCTTGACCTTGGCCATGTTTTGTGGACTTGTCCTCTCGCGCCATTGACGCCATTTGAAGCCTCGTTGATTCTGTGAAATTTAATGTAGTACTTGTTGTTTTTCTCTGTCATCTTTTTGCAGCGAGTTCTTGCTTACTTCCGTGGGACTGGCACTGCAGTCAGAATGAAGTAAGAAGCTGCTAGATCTGCAGCATTGAACTCATGTGTTGTGTGAACCAATGTATTTGCCGTTTACCGTTAGATTGTTGTGTTGAATCTTCAAGGGTGTATATAGACCTGGTTTTTTAGACTGTTTGAGATGCTTGTGGCGTGTGGTTATCACCATTCACTGTTAGAGGGAACACCAATCACAACTCTCCACATCATTCCAGGAAAACGAAGCTTCTGGTTCGCATTCGTCGGTTCAGGCATGAAAGACAAGGACAGCTTTGATCTGTATCCTATACACCACTCTCTAGTTTAGTTTTCCCATTTCAGTAGTCAGACTTGTTCTGGCTGGCTTGTTTAGTAGCTCAGTATTACATGTACTGTTCTGGCTGGCTAGCTCCCCTCAGTCTGGCTGTTGCGTGAGAGGCTGTTCTGTGTTGAGCTAGGCTGTTATGCTCGCTTAGGCACAAACTCCACGAAGTACGAACGACCTGTCAGTGAGCAACAGGAACGCTGGTAGCCATTTCGAATACTACCGGAGCGTACAGCCGAGGTAGCATTCCGCACTTGAGAAGAAAGGAGCTCCTGCTGTCAGAAGCTTGGTGCTGGTGAATCTGTGACGGACCGTCCGTAAACTGAACACGCAGTAGTCGTCGCTGGTAATTGTAATTCATTTCCGTGATTGCAGTTTCCATCAGGCAATGGCTGGTGCTACCTCAGTCCCTGCAGCCAATAGCATTCCCAAGTGTATTGTTAGCCAACCACACTCAATGGCCTCTGGAACATTCTCCCTTGCTAGACAAGCAGTACCTTGTCTGAGCGCTGCTCTGAATGCGTCAGCACAACTTGTGAAGACTCCCTGGTCCAGATTTCATGCGACGCCACGCCTGTTCAGATCTTCACGATCGTCGTTTGACCATGCTCCACTTGTCAACCATCGAGCCGTTCATCGTGTAAGGTTCGCGAATTCACCAGTCGCTTCAGCGTCGAAATCGTCGCAGGAAGCAGAAACTGCTGCGAATGATTCCAAACCTGGCCGAGTCGAGCCTGCAAACGGAGCTGCTTCAAACGGAAGTTCTTCAAACGGAGGTTCTTCAAACGGAGCTGCTTCTAACGGAGCGAGCACGATAAGTCCCAGAGCGTCAACCAATGGCGCTCTGGCTCAGGAGCTTGACATCTCGGATCTGGATTGCGTGTTGACCGGAATCAACGTGGAGTGCGTGCTTCCGAATCTCGCGGACGACCGGGACAAGTGGGAACCTGTGGCAAGGGAGGACGGGGAGGAGGGGGAGGTGGGGGAGCAACGGAAACGGAAGACTCAGCAACAGCAGACGGCGGAGCTGGTAGCAGCAGGAGGAGAGGCGCCGAGTGGTTCATTTCTGTCTTCATTCAATTTTGACGGAATTCTGGAAACGATGCTGCTTATATCGCCGTTTTTCTTCTGGGGATCATCCATGGTCGCAATGAAGGTAACAGCCTCGTTAACATCGTTGCCTCCTATCTTCTCCCCCACTCTCCCCCCCCCCCGCGTCCTCCTTCTGCACATTGCACCCCTCTGCAACCCTCCATTCTTCCTTTCTGCAAGATAGTCTATGCCTCTCCAATCTATCCCATCCCATCCGCCATCTCAGAACAACACCTCGCCTTCCCAACCACTACATCTCCCTCCCATGTCCCCGTCCTTTGCTCCTCCCCTCCTCGTTCCCTCATCAGGACGTTATCCCCAAGGCAGGCCCCGTGTCCGTCGCCTCGGTCCGCCTCATTCCAGCGCGACATCTCTTCGTTTCCCCTCTTTCCACTCACCATTCTCTCTCCCATCAGGACGTGCTTCCCAAAGCCGATCCCATGTTCGTCGCCTCGGTTCGCCTCATCCCAGCCGGTCTGCTCCTCGTCGCCTCCCATCCTTCCCCCCTTTCCTGAACACCTTCATTTTCCCCACCAACTTAGTGTCACTCTCCTCAACCCCTCCCCTTCCCCCTCCCCCCCCCCCCCCCCTCAAAATCAGGACGTGCTCCCCAAGGCCGGCCCCATGTTCGTCGCCTCTGTTCGTCTCATCCCAGCCGGTCTGCTCCTCGTCTCCTTCGCTGCCAGCCGCGGCCGTCCCATGCCCAAGTCCGCTCTCGCGTGGTTCTCTATCCTCCTCTTCGCCCTAGTGGACGCCACTGCCTTCCAGGTAAGAGGGGAAAGGGTAACTAGTCAGCTTTTTGTTGCCTCTGCTGCGAGCCGCGGCCCTCCCATCCCATGCCCAAGTTCGCTCTCCCGTGGCTCTCTCTATCCTCCTCTTCGCCCTAGTGGATGCTACGGCCTTCCAGGTGAGGGGAAAATGAAAGGGTAACTAGTCAGCTTTTTGTTGCCTTTGCTGCGAGCCGCGGCCCTCCCATCCCATGCCCAAGTCCGCTCTCGTGTGGCTCTCTCCATCCTCCTCTTCGCCCTAGTGGACGCCACTGCCTTCCAGGTACGCTGCTGTTGCTTGAAAGGGTATGTAGTTTGCTTCCCTGCCGTCCCATGGCCAGATCCGCTCTCACATGGTTCTCCATCCTCCTCTTTGCTCTAGTGGACACCACTGCCTTCCAGGTCAGGGGGGAAATTGGAGGGTAGGAAGTTGAGTCTTGTTGGCTGTTTCGGCCAGCCACGGCCGCCCCATGCTCAAATCCGCTATTGCGTAGCTCTTCATGCTCCGATGCGCCCTAGTGGATGTCATTGCTTTCTGCTTTTGAGGCTCCTGAAAAGCGCCCTAGTGGATGGCACTGCTTTCTTTTGCTATGTGAAATGGGAGGGTACATAAATCTTCCTCTTTGCTGCCTCAGAAGCTTGCCACTACATTTTTACATGATTTTGAGCTCCACCTCGCTCCCTCTTCCTCTCCCTCTCTTCCCCCTCCCTCCCGCCCTTTTTCCCACCTCTTCCTCTCACTCTCTCCTCCCTCTCCCCGCCCACCCTCCCCCCCCTCTTCCTGTTATCCTCCCATCGCCCACAGGGTTGTTCAACAGAGGGATTGCAGGCAATCATCAGCCGACCTCGGATCAGCTTTTGAGTCGACTCAAAAGCAGGCTTCCCCCCCTCTTCCTGTTATCCTCTCACCGCCCTCAGGGTTGTTTAACAGAGGGACTGCGCCGAACATCAGCCGGCCTCGGATCAGTAAGCAACCCCTCCCGGTCCCATCCCCCCATCCCATCTCTTTTCCAATCCCAACCCCCACACTCTCTTTTATTGCATCATCTCGTGTCTCTTCTTTAGACTATTTCCAACAATTTAATACCATTCAGCGACTTTCCCCCGACCCGCCGCCCCTCCTCCCTCCCTCCCTTTCCCCTTTCTCTCGCACTCTCTTATTCTCTACCCTATGTACGTGCCAGGTCATCATAGACTCTCAGCCGCTCACAGTGGCTATTCTTGCAGCGCTTCTATTTGGCGAGACCATATCAAAAACAGGAGCGCTGGGGCTTGTGCTGGGCGTTGTAGGCTTGCTCCTTCTTGAGGTGAGCCTCGAGGTGCTTTAGAGATCATTTCAGGACAGGAGCTTTTGCTGGGGATGGTTTGCTTGCTGCTTGAAGTGAGCCTTGGGGTTCCTTAAAAACCCTTTCCAGCACAGAAGCGCTGAGGTGCTCTTGAGGCTGGGTGCTCTTGAGGCTGGGTGCTCTTGAGGCTGGGTGCTCTTGCGGCTGGGTGCTCTTGAGGCTGGGTGCTCTTGCGGCTGGGTGTTTTTGAGGCTGGGTGCTCTTAAGGCTGGGTGCTCTTGAGGCTGGGTTCTCTTGAGGCTGGTTGCTCTTGCGGCTGGGTGCTCTTGAGGCTGGGTGCTCTTGAGGCTGGGTGCTCTCGAGGCTGGGTGCTCTCGAGGCTGGGTGCTCTTGAGGCTGGGTGCTCTTGAGGCTGGGTGCTCTTGAGGCTGGGTGCTCTTGCAGCTGGGTGCCCTTGAGGCTGGGTGCTCTTGAGGCTGGGTGCTCTTGAGGCTGGGTGCTCTTGAGGCTGGGTGCTGGGGGTTGTTGGCTTGCTGCTGTTGGAGGTGCGCAGGGAGAACAGCTTGTCCTTCCATTCCACTCCCCTCCCCCACTCCCGCCCCTTAATGCCTTTGCTCGCGATCTTGCCACTTCCAGTCTTTTGCTCTCTTCTTTCCCACCCCTAATACGGACACCCCCTTCGTTCTCCCATGAACTCCTCTGCATTCCTTTCAGGTCCCAGTAGATGCCCTTCTATCCTTCAGTTCCGCTCTCCCCCTCTCTTCCTTCCCACCCCTCCTACCAATGCCCCCTTGGTTCGCCCATAATCTCCTGTGCATTCCTTCCAGGTCCCAGTGGATACTCTTCTGTCCTTCACCTCCTCTCTTGGCTCCTCCAGCCAATCAGTGCTTGCCACGTTGCCACTAGACAGCACTCTCTCCCTCGACATAACCCCTTCCCTCGCTGATTCTGCTGCAACTCTAGCAGCAGCAGCGGAGTCGACAGTAGTTGCACCACCAGCAACAGTGGCATCAGCAGCAGCGGCACTGGGTGGGGGGGAGTGGCAATTGTGGGAGAGCGGGGAGTGGTGGATGCTCCTGGCTGCTCAAAGCATGGGTGAGGGGTCGGGCGCTCTACAGCTGTCTGGAAAATTTGTGACTTACCAGACAAATGAGACATCTTCCCGTCCTTCTGCCTTCGTCTTTCAGGCCTCCGGCTGTCTTCTTGCATTCCCCTTACCCCTCCCACACCCCTCTCACTCCGCCCGCCCCTCTCCCATTCCTCTCTCCTCTGACCAGCCGTGGGTACGGTGATGGTGCGGTGGGTCTGCAGGCACTCCGACCCAATCATGGCTACTGGTTGGGTAAGAATAGATTAAAAGGGGTACAGTACGGGCCACGGCGTCCAAAGTTGCAGACAAGACTTGACATGCCATGTGGTGTTTTGTACCTGGTGCTTGGGGTCTTTTTCAAAACAAACCACTGCTCCAACAGTCCCCTGCTGTCTTTTCTAAATTGTCCCGTGTGCTCCGTTTTCTACCCTCTCATGTCACCCCAAACCCCCACACCATGGCAGCACATGGTGCTCGGAGGTGTTCCTCTCCTCCTCCTCTCGTTCCAGCAGCACGATCCAGCGGTCTCTGGCCACCTCTCTGACCTCTCCCTGCTTGACTGGTCCTCCTTAGTGTACACCTCAGTATTTGGAAGTGCTATCAGCTACGGAGTGTTCTTCTACAACGCAAACAAAGGTGAGCATTGTAGCATACAACACACACGCCTGTTGAGCGCATTGTAGCATTTGCTCGTCCACGTCACTCCTGAGCAGCCAACCTCTTGTCTAAGTCTTCGAAGCCCTGTCACGTGTTCTACTCACATCGTTCAATTGCAGGAAACCTCACTCGGCTTAGTTCGTTAACATTCCTCACCCCAGCTTTTGCTGCATTCTTCGGGTATGCCCTATCAACCCCTTCTACTTCAACTACGGTACTTGCACATCTTCGGCCTGCTTGTGCTTTTGTAGCTTGATGCCTCCTCTCTTCCAGTTCCTGGTTGATTGATTGATAGGCCCGTGCCATGTTGTGTTGCCTTGCCTGTTGCTCTTTTGCAGGTTTGTCTTCCTCGGAGAAACATTATCCCCTTTGCAATTCTTTGGAGCTGGGGTTACCCTTGTCGCAATCTACCTTGTAAATGCCCGCTCTCAGCAAACCACCTAGGGCATGCCAGTATACTTACACAACCCAGAGGCCATGTTCTTGGGAAGTGCTGTATGTATGCATTCACTTAGGGAAGTGCTGTATGTAGCAGCAAGGACAAGGTGGAGTTAAAGATCCACGAGAAGGAGATGAGTCAAGCCTTGGATGGTACAGCCTTGGCCCTCTCCGAACGAAGATAGGCTTCGAACTTCTCTAGCTGTCGCATGAAGCCATAATTAGGTTGTGCAATTGGTCTGCACTTCTTGACGTGTGCAAATGCTTCTTGAAAACTGAGGCCTTTCCTCGCCATTAGATATGCTATGACCACTGTCGCACTTCTTGACATACCTGTGAAGCAGAAAAATTGTCAAGGAGATGGATAGATCAACAGACAGAGGAAGAAGGAGAAAAGGTAACAGGAGAGAAGACGATGCGGGAGAGAATAGGTCGAGGAGAGGAAGTGATACCGGTAAGTGGAAAAGTGGTACAATACCTGCGACACAATGAACAAGGATGCCGCCTGATCTGATTCCATCGTCAATGGCTCTGAAGCATATCTCGAAGTGTTCAATAATGTTCACGTGAGACGAGTCTATAATGGAGACCTCCGTGTACTTGAATGCGCCAGGGAACTTAGGAGGGCCAACGTTGGAGGCGATTGTTAGAATGCTCTTTATGCCAAGGCCATCCAGCAATTCCCTGCAGGAATGACGTCAGCCAGCATCAGATCACGAAGGAAGAACGCAGGGAAAAACTCGGAAGCCCTGAGGACTAAAAGAGCTGAGAGGCGATTGCTCGCTCGAGCTTACTTGTCGGAGGCTGAATTCAGGTTTCCCAGATATAGCTTATTGTCGATTAAATCAGGAGGCGAATGGAATAACGAAGACGTTGTGATTGGAGTATAAGGCGGTCTCCAGGGGATCGACATATCCTAAGCACTCCGGACCGGACTTGTCGAAATCAAAAGCGAATGCGGGGTCCACACACTGAGATGAAACACCTAAAAAGCCGACTCCTCCATCCGTCGAGGATGAGAAAATCGCCGCTTTAGAAAGCTGAAGCCTCGACGTTAGCAATAAATAAGAGCGGTCAAGTCCGTCTAGCACCAGAATGTCTCATCCTGCAAATGGGGACGCCATAACTGAGGAAGAGCTCCAGGTGCTGAACTCGAGATGGTGGATGGGTGCGATGAGAGGTGATGGAGGGAGACAGGAGAAAAGCATAGTACAAGGCCAGCCGTCTGTGCACACCAATGAGACCATGCAGAATCCAAACCAAATTCCCACATCCTACCACCATATCATAAGTCACGGTGCTGAGGGTTCCCAAGCGGTGCAAGAAGCACCCCCACCGTGGTCGCATGTTGTACAGGACACCAGACTTCCACAGCGCAAAGCGCCTGCGCAGGTCGCGTCGCCACGCCAAGCCACCCTGTATGCTAAAGACGCGGCAAAGTCAGTTCGGAAAACTCCCGCCAGTAGGAGATTAGAGGAAGGTGTAGACCAAAGTGCATGTTATGGGAAGAATGCCATAAAGACCGCTTATAAGCTTACTTACCTACAATACACGACACTAGTACTTAAATGTAGTCTCCATTTTAATACACAACAAAATATTCGATGCTAATCTGCAACTTAATAGAAAGAGCGGCCCTGATGGCATGCATAAGATGGCTATATAATAAGATTGGCTGCCCCTATATGAATAGTGTTACTAAAAACACTATCTACAAGGGAAAACGAGTTCTAAGCAGCCACGATCCCGGCTTTCCATCAACAATTGAAGAAAATTGTAACGTATGGGTTCTCGGCATGGATGTATCAGCGGAAATGGAGATGTACTCTTTGCATTCTGTGAGAGAAACCTTTCGACGGATGAAGGCCCATATATGGCACTGTCCTTGAAACGACAACCTTGAATCTCGTCCAAAGGATCACAGCAGGCGGGATTGGTGGGTACTGCTTAGGGCCATTGTAGCATCCAGAAGGTCCCTGCAAGTGACCGGCGATAGCGTCAGAAGCTGAATGTTACACTTATGGAGATATGATAACAGCATGCTAATACCAATGCTGCAGCTCTCCCAAACCTTCACCATGTCGTCCCTTCCCTCTCACAGAATTACCATCCACTTGTTAGAGTAACGCAATGAACTAGATTGTGCCATACAGGGAAGTTTTTGTTAGAATGCTAGAATGACTAGAATGAGAGAGTACAAGGGAATATAAGCTTGTACCCTCTAAGGCACAAACCTATGTAGTCTATAATAATATACTAAGTTATGTTATAACACACCCCCTAGACTATATAGGGGCAGTGCCTAACAAGCGGGCAAACAGCTCAGAGCGACACTAATATTCTAACCTCTGAGACAAGGGTATAAAGACCAGTCAGACGAGTACAGACCAAGGCAAGAGCAAGGCCAGGGCGGCACTACTAGTCCAGCCACAAGGAACGGCCGAAAGGCCAGTCCGGGTAATATATATATAAAGGTCTGTACACAATCAAGGCCTTAGAAAATGAGAGACGACAGGAACAAGACCAAGCTGTACACAGTGCCGCTGATGATCTTTAGGTGCAAGTGCCTTCGTAAAGATATCAGCTGTGTTGGAACCGGAGAACAAGTCTACTACGCGTGCCTGGCTGCGCTACTGTAGCTCACGCATGAGGAAGTACCGCAGCTGAATGTGCTTCGCTCAGTAAGGACCACTGGCCTGCGTCCTCCCAGCACTAGCCCCATGCCCGATGTACTTGCAAGATAACGCAAAACCCTCTTAGCGGCCGACCAGTGCTGTGGTCGGTGTCTGCCTGTGGCCACAAAGCGAGCCAGCATGCTGAGAGGGTATGCGAGATCTGGGCGAGTGCAAGTTATCAGGTACATGAGGCAACCCACTAGCTCTGCGTAAGGACCACTGAGCTCTACTGACTCCACAGGAACAGGAGTTGGGAGCCTGTGGTCTACTGGCAAAGGTGTGGGCTATGCGGAGGAGTACTGAAGACCGAACCTCTGAAGGACCTTGCGCACCAAGTGTGACTGTGTGAGAGTGATGGTGCGCGCTGCTCTGTCCTTGGAGATCTGCAGGCTAAGGTAGTGGTGCAGTTCTCCTAGGTCAGTGCAGGTGTGTCTCTTCAGCAGCTCTGCCTTCACGAAGGCTAGCGCGTCCCTGTCTGCAGTAGCGAAGACCAGGTCGTCTACGTAAACAAGGATGTAGAACGGGGCCTGGCGAACACGAACGAAGAGCGATGGGTCGGCCGAGGACGGAAGAACTGCAGGTCCGCTAGGGTAGCACGTAGCATGTCGTGCCACGCACGGGGCGCCTGTCACAGGCTGTAGACTGGACGCCGCAAGAGCCATTGGGTCCCATGAGGGAAGGTACCAGTAAAGCCCTGAGGGCGGCGCAGGTAGACCTGCTCGTGTAGGCTGCCCTGAAGAATAGCTGTGGAGAAGTCAAGGGAATGTAGCTCGTACTCGCTCTGTGCTGCTACGTGTAGAAGCACCCAAAGAGTAGTCATCTTCGGGGTCGGTGCAAAGGTCTGAAAGAAGTCCACCCCTTCACGCTGACTGAAGCCTCTAGCCATGTAACGCGCCTTAAACACAGGCGACTCTCTAGGGGGGCGCTTCACCTTGAAGATCCAGCGGCCATCGACTACGTTCACCCCGGATAAGGGAACTGCATCGACATAGGTGCCCGTGGATCTCCAAGATGCCATGTCCTGCTCCATGGCAACTATCCACAGAGAAGCCGAGGGTCCCGAGGTGGCCTCAGCGTAGGTGTGAGGGGTCGGGATGTCGAAAGCGTCTAGGTCACCCTCAGGGACTAGTAGCATGGAGCAGAGATGGGGAGCAGCCTCCGTTAGGAAAGCAAGCTCGTACTGCCGATCCTCCAAGACTTCACTGCCGAGGGCAGGAGCACCCCCGACGGACGGAGGACAGGCAGGGTCAGAGACCAGAGCGGTGGCGTAGTCAAGGCGGCGGGTAGAGACGAAGTCAGCGACAGCAACGACAAGTGCGTCAAGAAGCGAAACAGGAATAGACGGGTCGGTAACGAGAGAGGCAAGGACCCGAGAAACAAGAGGACGAGCGGCACGAAGGTAGTCAGACAGAGGGGGAGGCGCGACAGCAAGTGAGGACGGAGGAGGCAACGACAGGAGGGGAGGACGAGACACGTGGGAACGAAGCAACATAGGGTGAGAACGCGGGACAGGGGAGACACTGGGTCCTGGGGGAACGTGGTGAGGGGAGCACTAGTAGCGGCCTCGGTACCGAAAGCGTACCGCTCGTGACCAGGGAATGTAGTGGTGACGCCAAGGTCCCGGAGGCAGCCGACACCATCTAGGTTACTAGAGAACGAGGGGATGTGCAGGCCTGTAAGGGAGCCCGAAGAAGCACCGGGAAGCGCCGGAGTCAAGGGTGAAGGAGAGCACGGCAGTGGCAGCACGAGCCAAAGAAGCAAGAGAGGAGCCTAGGCTAAACGAAGTAGGGGATCCTACGCCTCAATAGGGGAGTCTGAGCTAGGCACACCTATGCAAGGCAATTCTGAGTAAGGGGAACCAATCACACTAGAGTCATCGACATACAGCACATACAACGCAGAACTAATCTCATCCATGTCCATTTCAAAGATCTGAACACCCCGACGGAGCAAGCTGAGCCAGTCGGGGAGGTCGGGCGACGGGCCGAAGCGAAGACAAAACAGGTCGTCCAGGCGGTGGAAACAGCAGATGGGGGTGTGACCGATCTTACAGCACACTAGGCCACGGCGTGGACCGGTCTGGAGCTGGTACTGGTAGCGCCCGTCGTCTGAACCACCACCTGACGTCACGCCGCGCGCACGACCACTGCGACCGTCGCAACCACCAGCGCCGGGCCATCCGGGCGGGAGACGACCAACCCGCCGCTGCTGCTGTTGCTGCAGTGGCTGCGGCGGATGCTGATCCAGCGGTGGAACCTACTGCTTGTTAGGATTAAGGACGGAGTCTAGGTGAACTTAGGAGCTAGAATTACTCAAAATATAAATCCGAAATTCTGGACAGAAAAGTCGTCTTCACAAGAAACGACGTCGACGGAAAACTAGCCGTTGGAATGTCGCAAAACTCGAATATGTTGTAGCTCTTAATCTCAGCTACCGTTCCCAATTCGAATCATGTTGATTGATGAAGTATTCGCGACGCTATGGCTTTCGACGCACTAGGGGGTAAGCTGTAGGAGGAGAACTTAACTCAATCTCAAGAGTTCAATCAAAGTTCAAGAATCTCACAAGGAATTAGAAGGAGCAAGAGAAAGGTTGGGATAGGAAGAGAGGGATGAGAGGGAAGGTCCCAAGAGAGTCCCCAACCAAGGAAACCCCATAAGCACAAAGATTCCCTCCCTATAGGAACCTCAACTTTGACCTTTGTCCCTTCCCAACCAATCCATCCAAGTTGGCCACCCTTGCCAACCTAGCTTGGTTGTTCCCAACCTATTTGCAGCTGTTACAGTAGAGTGACAAGTTTCCCCAACCCCAAAGGTCCCAACTCCATATAAAGTCACCCCACAACTTCACTTAGTAACCGCCGCAATTGTAACGCAAGCTCATGAACTTTGAATCTTCATAGCTTTCGCGTTCTTGCTCCGATTGAAGCGATTCTTGTTGCGTCGGAAAGATCTTCTCAAGATCTATCATCACAAATACCTGCTCAAACAAAAATAACACAGAACACATTCCCAAACTCCAGAACACACACCACACAAATGCTTGCACATTCAAACCACACATGCAAGTTGAAAACATGGGATGGGAGGCAGACAGAATGTGATAGCATATGATGACATCACACAACAATCTCCCCCTCTGGCTGCCAACCATCATCCACCATACCACATCTCAAGCATGCATACTCAATGCACACTCATCCCAGCAAGCTTCATGCCCTTCCAATGATCCGCCTCCGCCAGACGCTTGGTGAAAATATCTGCTGCCTGCTGATGGGTCTTCACTATCTCCAGCCGCACCTCCTTATCAAGGAGTCTCCTCACCCAATGCCACTTAGGCCTTATGTGTTTTGTCAGCCCATGCAGACAAGCATTCTTGGCGAGCTTCACAGCGGACTCATTGTCACAAAACACAACTGTCGGCTTCTCCTGACCAACTCCCAACTCCTCCAACAAACGCCTTAGCCACACTACTTCCTTGGCCCCATGGTGTAAGGCCATGTACTCAGTCTCACATGAGGACAATCCCACCTCATTCTGCTTCTTGCTGCGCCAGCTCACAGCACCACCTCCTAGCAAGCACACATAACCCCCAATGCTGGTGCCATCCGCTTTCACTGAGTTGAAGCTAGCGTCAGTACCTTGGGCTGAGGAATTGCAGCCCAATAGCATAATGCAATCTCATCTTCCTCAATCTGCTCAACCACACTCCCAGCCTGCACCACATTTGGCTTGCCTCTTCCCCCATAGGTCAGCCTCACTGGAGGGCGCACATCCCTCCTAGGTCGCTCAGGCGGGTGTGGAACTCGAGGTGGAGACTCATGTTGCTGCTGCTGCTGCTCCACTTCAGCTTGCTCCCCCTTCCTCAGTCACTCCAGACATCTCCTCCTCTGACACTGCAACCTCCACCTGTCTTGAAGGCTGCTGCACCTCATCTGCCTCCACAATGAGCGGTGTAGATGGAAGCTTCTGTTGCTGCTGCTTCCATTCCTTGTAGTACAGGGACTCAAGAAACTTCACATCCCTTGACACTGTCAACTTCTGGGTGGTCAAGTCCCATAGCAGCCACCCCTTGTGATCCTTTGCAATCCCCAAGTGCACACCCCATCTTCTAGAAGCCTCCAACTTCCCCCTTTTCTCCTTAGGCACATGAAACACCACCATGCACCCAAATGCCCTCAGCATGTTCACAGCTGGAGCACTCCCATACCACTTGGTATATGGGATCCACTCCTTATCTCCAACTGTAGCCAGCACCCTGTTCTTCACAAGGGCGACCTGCCTCAGTGCAGACACCCAAAACGGATCAGGCAGCCCTGCACGCCCAAGGAGAGTGCGTGCCCCCTCCTGCAGGGTCCTGTTAAACCTCTCAGCCACGCCATTCTGCTGCGGGTTGTAGGGCACTGTCAGTTGATGTTGGATCCCCTTCCTCTTCAACTCCCCCTCAAAATCAGCTCCAATGAACTCCCCACCATTGTCACTACGGATCACCTTCACCTTGTGTCCGCATTCCCTCTGAGCTCTCGGCATCCACTCCTTAAGGACAGCCGCTGCCACCTCCCCCTTGCTCTTCAAAGGGTAAACCCACACTGCCCGAGTGTGGTCATCCACAATTGTCAAGAAATAGCGGCTGCCTGAGAGGGAAGGGGCTCTTGTGGGCCCCACCACATCCATATGCACAAGTGCAAGTGGGGTCTTGGCTGGTCCTGTAGTGCTGTTGAAGGGGAACTTGGAGAACTTGGTCTCCAAGCATGTAGGGCAGCTCCCAATCTCCTTCACTCCCCCTTTCACCTCCAAGCCCTTCAGGCTCCCATCCTTCACCAACTTCTGCAGCATAGGGAAGTTCACATGACACAGCCTCTCATGCCATGTCTCCCAATCGGCCTCTCCATTCCTTGATGAAGCCTTAGCCCATGCCGCACTCGCATCCACACCAGCAAGCACCTCGCCATGTGTCTGCTGCTGCTGCACTTTCTTGACTGCTTCCAGGACCCCATCAGTTGGTGCAGTTGCATCTCTTCCTGCTGTTGCCTTTGCCGCTGCTGCCGTTGCTGCTGTTGGAGTCTTCCCATTCCATGGGATGATGGGCAGCTGCCACAGGTCCTTGATGCAGCTGGTCTCCTCTTCCAGACTCCACAGCACCTTCTTCCCAAGCTTAGCACGGCAACTGGTTGGTCCAAAGGTCACTTCGGCCTTGCTCTTCTGCAGTCGTCGCACAGAGAGAAGGTTAGCAGACAAGCCTTCAACCAGCAGAACATTCCCAAGCCCCACAAGCTCCCCATTAGCTCCCTTAACCTTGGCATTTCCAACACCAATCACGGGGAGCAAAGCACCTGACGCTGCTGCCACATACTTAATCTTCCCAGGGGGTTTTACCTCATCAAGCAAATCTGCCCGTGGAGTCATGTGACTGGTGCAACCCGAATCAATCACCCAGTGCGTGAGAGGGTGCATCACAACCTTTCCGACAGATCCCACATCACCCTCATGCCCATGCACATCCTCAACCATGAGATACATCCCAGGATAGGCGTTACCTTGTGCACCTTCACCTTGTGCACCTGAGCCTTGCACAGCGCCACCTTGTGCGCGTTCACCACTTGGCGGCTTCATGCCTGGAGGTGACCATCCCTCCAGCCTGCTGAAGCACTTGAACCAAGGATGCCCGACCTTCTTGCAGTACCAGCAGGTGCCCTCCATTCTGGTACTCCCCCTACCACCAGAGCTCCCATGCCCCTCATTATAGTCACCTCGGCCTCTACCTCTGCCAAAGCTCCTCCCATGGCCTCGGCCTCTCCAACCCCCTCTTCCTTTGCCGCGCCCTGCAGCTCCATACCCCTCAGCAGTCTTCGTGGCAGCACCGCCTCCCACATGGCGTCTACGGAAGTCCTCCTGCAGAATCTGCTGCCTTAGCCACTCAGGTGTCAATTGATCTTGCTGAGAGTTGAGGGTGGGGATGAGGTTGTCCCAAGAGTTGTCCAACACCGAGATGATCTTGGTGCACTGCTGCAGCTGAGATACACTGCTGCCCGCTGCTGCCATCCTTGCATAGGTGTCCTTGATCTTGTCAAGGACCGGCTTCACATCGTCCCCCGGTCGCATGGAGATGGCAGCAAGTTCCTTCTCGAGCACGATCACCATCGGGAGAGTGTTGGGCTGAACCACATCACGTAGTAGTTTCCACGCCCTTGGACCCGAATCATCCGCTTCCACAAGATCCTTGATGTGCTCGAACATCTCCTTGTTGACCGATTGAAGAATGAGGTCGAAAAGCACCGCGCTTTTCTCAATCCACCGTTCGCGTGCTTCGCCTTCCTCGGGCATCTTCTCCTCCCCAACAGAAATCTTCAGTAGCTTGTAGCGTTTGAAGGCACTCCTCATCCGCCCGCTCCATTCCTCATAGTTGGAGCCATCCAAAGCTTCAACTTTTGATGGCGGCGGCTCACTTGTCTTCTCAGCTACAGCTCCTCTTCCATTAGCATCTCCTCCTCTCTCATTCATCTTCTCCTTGAGAAATGACGAATTTCAGCTCCCCTTTGCTGTCCACACTCAGCTCCCTCGATATTTTCACAAGTGTCGGCGTCCACGAAATTTCGGCAGAGTTTCCCCTTAGCGGAAGACACATCCAACCTTTAGAACACCACTTAGGCACACCCACAGGCCATGGTGGGTCTAGAAGGGTCTTCACACTTCAGTAGACTCCTCTCAATATCCTTAATATGGCTCTGATACCAGTTGTTAGGATTAAGGACGGAGTCTAGGTGAACTTAGGAGCTAGAATTACTCAAAATATAAATCCGAAATTCTGGACAGAAAAGTCGTCTTCACAAGAAACGACGTCGACGGAAAACTAGCCGTTGGAATGTCGCAAAACTCGAATATGTTGTAGCTCTTAATCTCAGCTACCGTTCCCAATTCGAATCATGTTGATTGATGAAGTATTCGCGACGCTATGGCTTTCGACGCACTAGGGGGTAAGCTGTAGGAGGAGAACTTAACTCAATCTCAAGAGTTCAATCAAAGTTCAAGAATCTCACAAGGAATTAGAAGGAGCAAGAGAAAGGTTGGGATAGGAAGAGAGGGATGAGAGGGAAGGTCCCAAGAGAGTCCCCAACCAAGGAAACCCCATAAGCACAAAGATTCCCTCCCTATAGGAACCTCAACTTTGACCTTTGTCCCTTCCCAACCAATCCATCCAAGTTGGCCACCCTTGCCAACCTAGCTTGGTTGTTCCCAACCTATTTGCAGCTGTTACAGTAGAGTGACAAGTTTCCCCAACCCCAAAGGTCCCAACTCCATATAAAGTCACCCCACAACTTCACTTAGTAACCGCCGCAATTGTAACGCAAGCTCATGAACTTTGAATCTTCATAGCTTTCGCGTTCTTGCTCCGATTGAAGCGATTCTTGTTGCGTCGGAAAGATCTTCTCAAGATCTATCATCACAAATACCTGCTCAAACAAAAATAACACAGAACACATTCCCAAACTCCAGAACACACACCACACAAATGCTTGCACATTCAAACCACACATGCAAGTTGAAAACATGGGATGGGAGGCAGACAGAATGTGATAGCATATGATGACATCACACAACACTGCTGTTGCTGCTCCTGCTGCTGAGACTGCAGCTTGGCGGTGCCAGATCCAGCGCCCTCGTCGGCACCCCCAACGGGCGACCCGGCTCTACCACCTTTGCCACCCCCACCTCCTCCACTACCACCGCCGCGCCCAGCCTTGGGGTGGCGGCCCTTTCCTGGACAAAACTGCGCTGCAACGGCTGTCTCGGCCACAGCAACAGAGCTGTTCGAGAAAGTGCACTGAGTGGGCGCACATCCCTGAAAGATAGAGACTGGCACAGTACCGCTAGACTGGGCGATACAGCGCTGGCGGGTCTTTATGGCAGACAGGGTGTCGACAAAGTCAGTGAGGGTGAGGTCTGCGGGGTGGAGACTAAGAAAACGATCGCGGGCAGTAGCAAGGCGGTCAGGGACGCGGGTGGCAAGCAGGTAAAGGGTAGCGCAGAGGGGGGGCTGGAACACGCGGAGCTGGGCCTTAGTACAGGCGGAGTGCCAGGTCGAGTCTAGCGTGCGCAAGTGGGCGGCTAGGTCAGCGACAGTGGGGAAAGACGCAAGATCAAGAAAAAGCAGGGGCAGGATCAAGCGACCGACGGAGGCAAAGGACGGGGTGGAATAGAACGCAAGAACAGCCTATAGGAACTCCTTCGCGGTCCAGACCGACCTAAAGTGGGGACGCTCAGACAGGGGAAGGGCATGACTGATTGCGAGCTGTGCGACATCGTCACGCGACAACCAGACTGCACGGGCAAGAGCAGCAGCGGCAGCGGACTCACGATCAGCAGACGTGGGGTCAGTGAGCAGTTCAGCAGAGGGGTCAGGGCAGGGGAGCGTACCGTCGAGGTGGACAGTCAAGGAGTGGCCGTCCTGCCTCTGACCAGTGAGCTGGCGGCGGAGGTCGACGAGCCACATGTCGAACTCGATCGGCTGACCCTCCGAGTCAAAGCGTAGCACAGAGTCCGCCATCAGGAGCGATGCAGGGCGGTGCAGCGGGGTACAGTGCGGTGCAGTGCGGTATAGTGCGGTACAATGCTGCTGCAGTGCGGCGCAGTGCAGTATAGTACTAGTGCAGTGCGGTACAGTGCGGTGCAGTGAGGTGCAGAGAGGTGCAGGGCGATGCTGGGCGGCGCAGGGAAGTGCACGGCGGTACAGTGCGGTGCTGGGCGGTACAGGGCGGTGCAGCGCGGTGGAGTGCGGTGCAGCGCAGTGCAGGGGCCGACTGCACGTCAGAGGCAGCTGGGCGACGGGGCTGGGCGTGCAGAACGGGCCGGCGCGGGCCGGCCACGGGACGGGCGCGGGCTGGCGACGGAACGGGCGGGAGCCAGCTGCGAGATGGGCGGGCGCTGGGCCGGCTACGGGACGGGCGCAGCTGGTTACGGGACGAGCGCGGGGCCAGCGACGGGACGGGCGTGGGCCGGTGACGGGACGGGCGCGGGGCCGGCTACAGGACGGGAGTGGGGCCGGCTACAGGATGGGCGCGGGGCTGGCTACGGGACGGGCGCGGGGCCGGCTACGGGACGGGCGCAGGGCCGGCTACGGGACGGGCGCAGGGCCGGCTATAGGAGGGGCGCGGGGACGGCTACGGGACGGGTGCGGTCAGCTATGGGACGAGCGCGGGGGCCGACGACGGGGCGGGCGCTAGCCGGCTCCGGGACGGGCGCGGGGCCGGCTACGGGATGGGCGCGGGGCCGGCTACGGGACGGGCGCGGGCAACTACGGGACGAGCACGGGGGCCGACGACGGGGTGGGCGCGGGGCGGCTACGGGGCGGGCGCGGGCCGGCTACTCAGGCGGGCGCGGGGCGGCTACGGGACGGGCACAGGCCAGCGACCGACTAGGGGCAGGCCGGCTAGGAGAACACGCCAGCTAGGAACGGCCAGCTAGGACCTAGGGCGGAAGCGCCGATGGGCGAACGGGACCTAATCTACTCATGATACCATGTTAGAATGCTAGAATGACTAGAATGAGAGAGTACAAGGGAATGTAGGCTAGTGTGTTGTACCCTCTAAGCCACAAACCTATATAGTCTACAATAACATACTAAGTTATGGTTTGACAGTTTTGTGCTTTGATGCTGTACCCTCTATGAGCATGCACCTATCTAGCATATAACATATACAATGGCGGAAACAATTGTCCACATGTTTAGCATGTGGACACATTTTGATGAGCTGTACGCTATAAACATTAAGCCTTAATTCATGGTGGCCATACACGTACAGAGGAGCAGTTAGAGCACTCACTCAAATCTCCTAAAAGCAGAGTAGTATATTTAATGGTCCTTCAAGATGACAACATTTAATAACAGCACATCCGGACAATTTGTATCGGGGACAGGCAGCAAACTAGTTACTAGCAAAACTAGTACCTAGTCAACCGACACTTGGCCTTGATCACCACCTACACCCTCCTAGGCATGTTATCTACGAGGTTAGTGCAAACCTTTACAAGGATCTTCTCGCACTCTTCCTAGACCCACGCTTTTGCATAAGGGGGTGAGCACTAGGAAAATCGCGAAGTATTTGAACGTATGCAAGAGTACTGTGCACGATTTCATGTTGAATGTCATCTCTAAGACTAGCCATGCTGAGGTGTGGCCAAAGATGCCATTAGTCGATTGGTCTCGTCTTATCATGGATCGTCTTCATCGCACCGTTGTAGGTAAAATTACGAGCAGAGTGGCGAAAAATTGCGTATCTGCTACGAAACTTAGGGTAACATAGCACGGTTGACAGTGCAACCTTGCACTATTAGAATCATGCTAGGATCCGTATGTCTCTGAGCGGTGCAGCAGTCGAAGTAGTCGTGACTGGTGGGGAAAAATATCCGGGTTGAGATCTGGTGAGGAAAAGGGTCACTCTAGCGTAACATACCCGTGTTCTCTAAGCCATTCTAAGCCATGTGTCCCGCCTAGGCTTGGAATGGCTTGGAGAGCATAAGTTTATAGCACTGGAGTGACCCTCTTCCTCACCAGACCTGAACCCGGATATTTTTCCCCACCAGTCACGACTACTTCGACTGCTGCACCGCTCAGAGACATACGGATCCTAGCATGATTCTAATAGTGCAAGGATGCACTGTCAACCGTGCTATGTTACCCTAAGTTTCGTGGCAGATATGCAATTTTTCGCCACTCTGCTCGTAATTTTTACCTACAACAGTGCGATGAAGACGATCCATGATAAGACGAGACCAATCGACTAATGGCATCTTTGGCCACACCTCAGCATGGCTAGTCTTAGAGATAACATTCAACATGAAATCGTGCACAGTACTCGTGCATACGTTCAATTACTTCGCGATTTTCCTAGTGCTCACCCCCTTATGCAAAAGCGTGGGTCCAGGAAGAGTGCGAGAAGATCCCTGTAAAGGTTTGCACTAACCTCATAGATAACATGCCTAGGAGGGTGTAGGTGGTGATCAAGGCCAAGTGTCGGTTGGCTAGGTACTAGTTTTGCTAGTAACTAGTTTGCTGCCTGTCCCCGGTACAAATTGTCCGGATGTGCTGTTATTAAATGTTGTCATCTTGAAGGACCATTAAATATACTACTCTGCTTTTAGGAGATTTGAGTGAGTGCTCTAACTGCTCCTCTGTACGTGTATGGCCAACATGAATTAAGGCTTAATGTTTATAGCGTACAGCTCGTCAAAATGTAAAAATATGCTAAACATGTGGACAATTGTTTCCGCCACTGTACAAATATATATTGACACACCCCCTAGGCTAGACAAGGGGCTGCGCCTGGCAAGAGACACGCAACTCATGGTGGCACTACTAGTCCAACCTCTGAGGCAAGGGTGTGAAGACTAGTCAGAAGAGTACAAACATGACAAGAGCAAACCAGGGTGGCACTACTAGTCCGACTACTGGAGCAAAAGCCGCAAGGCCACTCAGGAGAATATATTAAGAGTAGTACACAATCAAGGTCCTAGCAAGTGAGGAGCTACTAGAACTAGACCAAGTTGTACAGAGTGCCGCTGATGATCTTTAGGCGCAAGCGCCTTACAAAAATACTAGCTGTTTTGGCGTCGGAGGCCAAGTGAATTACGCGGGCATGGCGTCGCTGCTGCAGCTCGCGCAAAAGGAAATACCGCAGCTGGATGTGCTTCGCTCTGCCCTCCAGTCAAGGCTCCTGACACAGGAGGATCATGGCCTGTTGTCAGCGTACAGGACTTGGGCAGAGCCAGGCCGCTCACCTATGTCTATGAGCAGGAACGTCAACCAGCGGAGCTCCTGTGCCGCCATGGCACCTGCGTAGATCTGAGCCTCACAGCTAGACTGTGCAACACATGACGAGCGGGTGGACCTCCACGAGACAGCGCCTACACCAAGGCTAAAGCAGTAGCCCTGAGAGGACCTGAGGGTCTCTGCATTGTCAGCCCACGAAGCATCTATGTGCCCTGTCAGGACCACTGGCCTGCGTCCTCC